AAAGAGAAACTTTGAACAGAATGTGAATTGGAGGTGCTGCTTTCGGAGGTAGACCAGAGAAAAGCGGTGTTAATTGCAAGTTTGTTCTCCGGAATTAATAGCAAAAGAAAAAAATAGAGTGGGAGAGTTTAGCTGATGCGGTTAACACAGTTGGGTCTGAACATCGCACTGAGTGCATTAAAAAAAGAAATAGTGTGGTTTATATCTGTAAAATGTTGCAGTACCCTTAGCAGTCTCAGTGGCGCAGCTCGTAAGACGCATGTGATCATGTATTGACACGTTCAAGCATGAACTCGGCTCGAATCCAGCGTCTGATGAACTCTTTCTTCTTTTTTTCCCCGCTACATATCAGATTTTGCCCACTATTTATCACGAGAAAGACAAGTAGGAATCATCAATAAGTTTGTGCATCATATTTTATTTGCACATTTATTGAATAGAAATGTTTCTGATTCACGCATGCAAATTCATCTTCAGATAGTGTCTTTATAGCAATGTGTTTGCAGTAGATAGCTCAGATTACGTTGGGAAAACAGGCGACTGCTGCAAATTGTGCTTTAATGTTTAGCTGGTCAACTGTATGGTATAGAAACCTTATATACCTGCTAGATGAACCCATCTCATACAGCTGCCATTGCAAGGCTCAGACACTTTGTAGAGAAGAATTTAACACAACTGCCTCTAGGAGTCGCCAATGGAAATAAAACAGACACGCACAAAGAATGTGCGTACGCCAGCCAGAAAGCTGCCATGAAGCTGCGCATATTCCCACGTTCAGTTCATTGTTAGTAAATCCAAGCGTGAGCGATTCTGAGCGTAAAACCTGGCGTACGCAAAGTTTTTGTGCGTACGCAGCGTTGATACATGAGGCCCCAGAACTTTCTACTCATCATACTGGGTGCAGAGAAATTCTTACAAATAGCAACCCCGGGCTGTCAAGAGCAGCCTGCATCACATGGCATCACAAAAGAAAGACATTAAAAAAAGTGGGCCTTCCCCTGTGTAAATGACTGCAGGCCAAATCTAAACTCAAGGGGGCCTTGAATAGAGAACTGCTAATACAGTAGGTCTATTGTGTGAAAGGGTTTTCAATGTCCTTTGCTGCCAGATATCATGATCCGGAAGGACCGCAAGGAAATCTTTCCAAAGTAACAAACTCAACGCAATGAATGGAGGTAGACTTTCTTAGTCACCAACAGAAAACGAAACTGTAAACGTTTGCTTGGAGTGTAATCAGACTATCTGAAAAATAAGTACCGCATGCAGTGCTATTGGCATAGCTAACCCTAGATTCTGTGTTATCAGTCTACAACAGTAAAGTAAGTGTTCACACAGGACACATTCTTGAGTTCAAACTACTGAAAGATCACATTTGGGTTAAGCGTTAACTGGTGCATTGTTTTAAAACTAACAGTGATTCATGGACACATGGCTCAGTGACAAATACTAGGGTCCATGATTCAGAATAACAATTACTTTTTGTGTTTAGATAGGTTTTATTAGGGTTACAGTATGACTTTAACATAATTAAACATCGAATCAGGTTAAAATAGTTGTATTAAATCAAGTAAAATAAAGTTAATTTATATTATTATTAATTAAATATTTTGTTTGTTTTTGACAAGTTGCATCACAAGACATTTTACCTCCACTAATCTGTCGTAAATAGATATTAAAATCTGATATCTTAAGAAACTTACAGCCTTAAATAAGTCACGATCTTGTAAAGATCCTGTAAATAATATTATTTCCAGATATAAGTTTTTTCTTTAATATTTAATGTGATATATTGCATTTTTTATATGTATAGGGCTGTCACGATACTGGAATTTGCAAGCAATCGGTACTAAAATTTTAAAAACATCCATTTCCCGCAAACATTTGAGCGCTACTGAGCACATTCTTAAACATCGCTGATTTGTCATTGTGTTCACGTGCTCAGCAGAAATGACTGTGATTGGTCATGAAGGTCACCGGTTCACCGAACTCACTGCTGTTTACTGAGTGTAAGTAATACTCAGTGACAAAAACTAGGGTCCATGATTCAGAATAACAATTTCTTTATGTGTTCAGATTATTAGGGTTTCAGTATGACTGTACAGCCAAAAACATCAAGTTAAAATATTTGTATTAATTCAAGTAAATTAAATTAAGTAATATTGCTATAAATGAAAAGTCATTTTGTTTTTGACAAGTTACACCACAAGACATTTTACCTCCACTAATCTGTCATAAATAGATATTGAAATCTGATATCTTAAGAGACTTACAGCCTTAATTAAGTCACAATTTTGTAGAGATAGTGTAAATGATATTATTCCAGATGCAAGTTCTTTAATATTTAATGTATTATATTTAGCATTTTTTATATATATATTGGAATAAATAAATATATATAGTGTTGTTACGATACTGGAATTCGGTACCAATCAGTACTGAAATTTTTAAAATGTCCATTTCTCGGGAACATGTGAGCGCTGTTCAGCATGTTCTTAAACATCGCTGAATTTCTATTGTGTTCACATGCTCAGCAGAAATGACTGTGATCACCGGACTCCCCGAAGTTTACAGAGTGTAAAAACAGATACAGGGACACTAGAGGTTTTTAAATGTACATCAATCAGCTGGCTTGTCTAAAAACTGACATAGAAGTGATCCGCTGATGAATCACAGCTTTAAAATGCTGCAGTGTCCCTGTATCTTTGGTTACATGCAGTAAACATCAGTGAGTTCGGCGAACTGATAACCTTCATGGCCAATCACAGTAGTTTCTGTTGAGAACGTGAACACAATGGCAAATCATCGCTGTTTAGCGGTTTGAAAGGCGGTGAGATATTCAAAGTTCGCTCTGGCCGCCCTGGTGACAACACTGTCTGCCTTCACTGCTCCGCCGTCGAGAGCATCAAAATATGCTACGTTGATATTGTATTTAAAGTGGCTATTGCAGCAAATCAGTTACATTCCCACATGAAAACATGCTTTCTAGCGTGAAAATGTTGTTGATCAAATTTATTTAACTACAAAAGATAAAGCTGTTGCGGGTGGTGTGGCTTTGCTCTTCTTATTCGATATGGGTCTATGTCTGAAATATTCTGAAGCAGCAATACTGTGTTGTATTGTCGTTACAGTTAGCATGAGATTCCCACATTAATGTACATCAACTCGCCAGTAACTTTTAAAAATGTATGTCGCTGTAAGAAAACAACATAAATAATTGGAAATCCAGCGATCGCAATGATCAAACCATTGGCAACAACTGTGGTTGAAACCAAAAATCACATGACTGTGTTCTCTATTCTCCTCTCAATCGGTGGACGTCTACATTTTAAATGGTTGCCGCTGAACCGCATCATAGATCATAACCATAGTGTTGACTTGATTTCACCTCTCCTCGACGGCTACACCAGCGAACACGCACCACTGCTTGACGCTTATCAACATCGGCTCTCATTGTAAATTAATGACTACTTTGGCGGTCTCACCGCTTTTGGTGTGAACGTGCAGTAAGAATGTGCTCCACATCGCTCAAATATTCGCGGAAAATGAAATGGACGTTTTTAAAATATCAGTACCTATTAGTCTCGAATTCCAGTATCGTGACAACCCTATGTAGGAGGTGCAGCAAAAAAACAAACATGCAAAGTCATTTAGACATGTTTATAAAACAAAACTGTTAACAATAGCTTAGTCAAAACACAACAACGTATCTCGTGTGAACAACTCAAAAGTAAGAAGCTTATCTATATTCTCAGGACACGATAAGCAAGAAATATAAATTCACTTGCTTATATATTAAACGTTTGTGTTTTCATTTGACGACTACATCAACATACGTGTACGTTCACTCTTAAGTACCATTCTCTCATATTTAGGAGTGAAGGAAATGCTTAACCTTCTAATTCAGAACAGCAGTTTGTGACAAAATGATTAAGGAGAAGCAAGCCCAATGGATTAAGGCTGATTTATACTTCTGCGTCAAACGCCGGCGTATGTTACGTGCACCTCTCAAAAAATGTAACTACACGTCGCAACAACGCGTAGCGCAAGCTCTGTGATTAGTCGGCTTGGTAGCGCTGACGAGTCTGGGCGGGACCGAGAGCCGCGTAAATGGTGCGAGCGTGATGGAGCGAGCGTGATGGAGCGATTGTTTACAAGTGTGGCGTCCCGTGAAGGAGCTCGGGATGGAAAGTTTTGTTTTGTGTTTACCTCATAGTTAAAGTTGTTGCACTTCCGCCGGTTCCTGCCTCAAAATGAGCGAGTTTGAGCCACTTGTACATCCCGGAATTGTTCAGGAAAAGCAAAACAGCAGCGAAAAAACTCGACAGAGAGGAACATTTACACCTCACTGCCAACTAGCGTTTCGGAAGTGTTAATGCAGACCAACAGAGACAGCGCGCAGAAGTATAAATGCACAGCTACGTGCGTTGCATGCGCCGTGGGTTACGCCGGTCACTTGACGCAGGAGTATAAACCAGGCTTTACGGGAGAAGCAAGTGTAAACCCAAAAGAACCCTATTCTCACCTACGTCTGAAGGCAGGCACTACAGCTCTATGTAGGTGAGGGATCCTCTGAATGTGTTTTGAACAGCTTTGTGGAGCCGAGTGTGTAAGCAAGTGCTTGAAAAGTCCCAAGGCATTGTGGGATAGCGAGGTCAATTTATAAGCAAACAATTAAGTACTGTCAAGTGCTGAGTTGTGAAAACGCATATTCTGAAACATCGGGAAATACATCAGAATGAGAGAATCTTGGATGAGAACACTGCTGATGACTTTTGGTATGAAATCTATTAGGATCCAGGTTGTGTTGTGTTCACTAGAAGTGCACTTACAGTGTCAACTTTCATAATCGAGAGCGATCCGTTAGCAAACGCTCCACATACTTGAGATTTATACTGGAATCTGAAGCGATTCTTACTGTAAAATGATGACGAACTAATGTCCAGGCACTAAACCCTGCCTGTGTGGTCCGGGTTTTTTTGTTTTGTGTTTCGCTTTGGTGAGTGAGTGAGTGTGTATTCAACCTGCCTACCTGATCAGATTGAAGCGTACGGCACTGTGTTGAAAGAATGCACTGGTGAGTCTGACCCGAGATCAGTTTGCCAGCAGAGGGACCAAGGGGAGAGAAAGGCAGAGCGGAGCTGCTTACGCTTATCTAGAAACAGTATGAAGAGCCAAACTGTCCTAACTAATTCCTGTACAGATCAAAGTCCGAAAGATTCATGAGTAGCTGTGCATCAAATCTATAAAATTCTAGAAAAATGGTCGGAGGAGGAAGATACAAGGAAAAAAACAGAAAGGAGACATTTGTTTAAAAAAAAAAAAAGGCACCCGGTAAAAAAAAACAAAAAAAACAGAGGGAGTGTGTAAAAGATCCTGACAAATCGAAAGAGCGAACACACTCCGGTAATGTGGTTGTAATCGGAAGGTGAGCGAGAGTTCAACGTAAATGTTCGTACAGCATAGCGAGTAAATATTCTACAGTAAGATCTTTGAGTTCATGTCGTAGGAGGACTGTGCAAAAACATGAGAACTTTAGAAGCCATGACAGCTGGACTGCAGAGTCCCGTACATCCATTCGGTTTTGTTAATTACTTATTTTCTTTAACCATTTAGCAGCGTATTGGCGTACCTGTCTTCTTCTGGGGCTTGACATTCCTTGATCTTCCTGCATTAACCCAGTGCATCCAGAACGCAAGCGGCTCTCCACAATCACAAACATTAAAAACCAAATAAAAGGACGCCTTTAAAAGACAACATCCTTTAGTCTTTCGGAGGGGGTACCGATACCCTTTAGTCTTTAGGGGTACTTACCCCTGAGTGAAATTAAGGTGCAATGTTTTCGTACAGAATCAAGCTGCTCCAAATCCCCCTCCTGCCCCAGCGGAGGAGTGCAACTAGGCCACTGCCCTCTTTGCTTTGCCCTCTGGTCCAGTAAGGCCTGCCGGGAGGAGTCTGAAAAGGGGATGGTCCTATAGACACTTATGGAAGTCTCTAATCGGTCAGAGTTGGAAGGGGGTGTGGCTAGTGGACAAAAGTGTGCCGTAAAAGGTCCTCAGCAGCGGGACGCTGTTTAGTCTCCACAAAAATCCGTTTAAGGAAGTCACGGCAGTGGTCCGACACGTGAGGTGGCAAGGTGGGGTTGGTTGGCTGTGTGGCGATTTTAAAAATGGCAGCCATCGCTTCGAACTCCGCCCACGGGGGCCGCTGAGTCAACATCTCCACTACAGTGCAGCCGATGCTCCTGGAATCAGGGGAGAATTTCTAGCGTTTTTAACATGGGATGCACAAGATAAGCTTTTTTATTTAGTGTTCTAGTGTTATACAGGGTTCCCATTGGATGGGACTGTCAGTGTCACGTGAACAAACTACTTAACTTCTTATTTGAAGAAAAATCATAGACAAAAGAGCCGGGTAAAAAAAATTAATGATGAGTATTTTCATTTTAGTTATGACTTCTTTGTAGTGTGATCAATGTTTGAGCTAGTTGTAGAGGAGTTCAGAAGCAACTTGAACTTAATAACTCAAAAAAAGGTTTGTTGATCTCGATGAACGAGACTCAAAGGTCAGAGAAAGAGTCAGTAAAATATGCCAAACTCCCCATCACTAATATTTATCACTTCATATGTGGTACACTTGTCATTTAACTTTCTTTAACCAGATGTTTAATAACAGAATAGTACTTAAATCATATTGTAGCTAAGAAAAATATATCAAGACCCTAAAGATATCATAAATAAATCTTGTGTTCAAAATCATTTCAATAAAATGCATTATAATGCAGACATACCAGATATCAGCTTTCCTGCCGTAACCCTCTCCACTGATGACCTCAGGGCTCATCCAGTAGGGTGTACCTGTCACTGACTTGATGCCCGTTCCAGACAGGCAGATGGTTTGGAGCCGCCGACTCGCTCCAAAGTCACCCAGTTTCACGTTACCTGCAGAGTCCCGAAGGATATTGGCACCTACATAAATAACAGAACAGGTGGAGAAAAAGTCATTTAATGAGGTAAAAAAACAACAACATACATTTGTAAATATCTCGGATTAACTATTTAAAGGCATAGTTCAACCCAAAAAACAAACATTCTGTCATTTACTCATGCTCAACTTTCTTCTGATGAACACAAAGGAAGACATACTGATGAATGTTAAAACAGCCATTTACTCCCATATTTTAGTTCCCATATAGATGCCTGTGGCTGCTTTTTTCGAACATTTTTCAGATTATCTTGTTTTGTGTTTAACTGAAGATGAAAATGTTTGCCGAACTATATTTTAAATAAAAAAGTGCATTGACTGAATATGTTAGATTCATTAACCATGCAGCAATTTTTAACATTATTTGAGGATTTAGACATTTACAACAAATTTAAAATACAAAGATTTAGTGATTTTCCTCCAATATGACTGAAATCATGTAAATATAAATAGAAGTATACATCAATATAAAAAAAAAACACTATTTAGTTAGTACAGGACTAAAGTTGCCTCACCTTTGATGTCCCTGTGGACGATCATGTTACTGTGCAGGTAGCAAACACCTTCTAGTATCTGCCGTGTGTATTTACGTGTGACATTCTCCGTCAGAGCACCGTACGACTTCAGCTGGTCTTTAATGGAGCCCTTTTAGGAAAATAAAAACAACATTTCAAATTAGGCTTGGGACGATAACCGGACTCAAGGTTTACCGCGGTTTGGGAAAGTGAAGGTTTTAAAATCACTAAAGTTTTCTGTTATATCGTTCCGAATGTATATGTAAGTTTTTTAAAAATGTTTTTTGTGTGTTTTTTAAATAAATGAAGACAACAGAAGTCAATGATTTATTTTGATTATTTAAGACATTCATAAATATTCCAAGCAAATCTAATAAATGCTGGAGACATACTCGGTACATAAACGCACTAAATAACACTTCAGCCGCTTTTATTTGAGGGCGCACAAGAAAATCTGCACTTGAGCAGTGTATATTTGAGGGCGCGCAAGAAGTTTTGTGCACGAACAGAGGAAATTGGCGCTCAAGCAGAGACTGACATGCTCGTAGGCTATTACATTAATGCGATCTCGACGTAATACTGCGCCCAAGACATTTGTCAATCAAATAACGCCACATGTAGTGGTAGATCTGTGTAAAATGGCTAACAGAGTCCGCCGCCACAGCTGGAAAAAATCCTAGAGGAAACACTGTTCATGAAATAAGGATTATGCCCAACATATGTGGTAATTTTCTATTCAGATCTCCTTTGAAATATGGTATAAATCGCAAAAATACAGACTTTACTTCCTGCTCTCCAGAACCATGTAATTGAAAACAACCAATTGCGGAAATTTCATGACAGTGGGAACTGTAAGAAATTAACTTGCTGAATCCATAAGGACAGTAACTCAATTAAAGTTTAGTTTACTAAACTGTCCGTAAGCTAGTCTATTAGTCATGCAACAGTATATCAGTGCATCCATGCTGCAAATACGCAAGGAAACAGCCGGCATACATGAACATGTGCATCCAAGTCTGAGAGGTAAAATACTCACCCCAGGCATGTACTCCATAAAGATGGAAAGTGTTTTTTCATGTGTGTCCCGCAAGCACCCGTAGTACTGAACAATGCGCTCGTGAAAGAGATTTTTCAGCAGCTGAATCTCACACTCCAGAGCACTCACCTCCTGAACACACATTTAAAAAAACACAGCTAACGCAAAGGCTCATTAAGCACCATATCAACCGTTAAAAAAAGGCTGAAAAATGCTGCTCACCTTGCTGGTTTCTGGGCTATCTGGGTCAAACTGCACCTGCTTAACAGCCAGTTCTCTGCCAGTGTCTGCATCGTAGCATAAAAACACTCGCCCGAACGCTCCTTGTCCCAAAAGCTTCCCAAGACGCCAGTTTGTTGGAGCACGAGGGGCTACACACACACATAAACAAAACAAAAAAATGAGAAAAATGACACAATGAACAATGTGATAACACTTCACAATACAGGACATGCAGCTAATGTTAGTTTAGATATTTAAAAACATGAAAAAAAAACAATGAACCATGCTTATACAGAATTTATTAATCATATTTTAACATTTATTAATGCATTATTAACATCCAACACTGTGCTTGTAAAGGTTGATTAATGCACTGTGAGTTTAATGACTGTATTTTTGTTAACCAAAGTTAACAAACATTATTAAATCCTTTAATAAATGTATTGTTCATCATTCATGGTTGACCTACATGTCCGGTATTGTAAAGTGTTGCCAACAATTCAAAAGTTAGCATTTCTCTATTCACTTCTTGACTAATTAATTTAAATGACAAGATCTAGATAGATAACTTATGAATAGGCCTATGAAAATGAGTTCATAAATAATGAAAATAGCTTAAAACATTTCATACAGATGGAAAGATATTACTTGTTGCACATTTAGGCTACAGTTCAAAATTTGGAGATTCATTTAGATGTCTTTGAAGAACGTCTTATTTAAGGCTCACAAAGGAAAAGTGTAGTACAGAAAATATGCATACATATACACCCACCGGCCACTTTATTAGGTACACCAGCCCAACTGCTCGTTAACTCAAATGTCTAACCAGCCAATCACCTGGCAGCATTCAGACATGTAGATATGGTCAATACGATCTGCTGCAGTTCAAACTGAGCATCAGAATGGGGAAGAAAGGGTATTTAAGTGAGTGAGCGTGGCATGGTTGTTGGTGCCAGACGGGCTTGTCTGAGTATTTCAGAAACTGCTGATCTACTGGGATTTTCATGCACAACCATGTCTAGGATTCAGAAAATGGTAAGAAAAAGACAAAACATCCATTGAGCGGCAGTTCTTTGAGCGCAAAAGCCTTGTTGATGCCAGAGGTCAGAGGAGAATGGCCAGACTGGTTCGAGCCGATAAAAAGGCAAAAGTAACACAAATAACCACTCGTTACAACCGAGGTATACAGAAGACCATCTCTGAACGCACAACACATGAAACCTTGAGGCGGATGGGCTACAACAGCAAAGACCACACAGGGTCCCACTCCTGTCAGCTAAGAACAGGAAACTGAGGCTACAGGTCACACAGACTCACCAAAATTGGACAACAGAAGATTGGAAAAACTTTGCCTGGTCTGATGAGCCTCGATTTCTGCTGCGTCATTCATATGGTAGGATTAGAATTTGGCGTCACCACCATGACAGTATGAATCCATCCTGCCTTGTATCAAAGGTTCAGGCTGGTGGGGGTGGTGGTGTAAAGGCGTGGGAGAAATTTTCTTGGCACAGTTTGGGCCCATTAGTACCAATTGAGCATTGTTAACGCCACAGCCTACCCGAGTATTGTTACTGACCATGTCCATCCCTTAATGACTACAGTGTACCCATCTTCTGGTGGCTACTTCCAGCAGGATGACGCGTCATGTCTTAAAGCACGATCCTCTCAGACTGGTTTTTTGAACATGACAATGTGTTCACTGTACTCAAATGGCCTCCACAGTCACCAGATCTCAATCCAATAGAGCACGTTTGGAATGTGGTGGAACAGTAGATTCACATCATGTATGTGCAGCCGACAATGCTGCCACAAAGGATAAAGGCAGTTCTGAAGGCAAAAAGGGGTGCAACCCTGTACTAATAAGGTGTACATAATAAAGTGTCCGGTAAGTGTATTTATATGTGCCCTACTCAAAAGTATGTACTTTTTCTTCACAAAATTCGCAAATTGGGATGAAACAATTGACTTCCATAGAAACTGTTTTATCAACTAAAGAAATTAATGAGTTTCAGCAACCAGTATTTTTCAAAATATCTTCTATCGAGCTTATTCTCCAATATGGCTCGTTCGTTTTTGCGTGTTTTAGATATTCCGATTCAGTTTCCTATGGGAGAAATTAATTGGAATAATAAACGGCAGAAAAAGGTCAAGCTACTTGCTCTACAAACAAGTGTGTTCAGGACCATACATAAAAAGTAGAATAATATAATCGTTAGCATTAAGAAGCGTAACAAGCTGTTTTTAACATCTAAAAACCAATGGAAGTGAATGCGACCTGACGTCTCAAGCCTAAAAGAATCCAATTGCGGCATCTGCTCATACTTGAAGAACAAGTTCGATAAATAACAGAATAAAAAACCTTTAAGAGAGAGTAAACAATGAGGAAATAGAAATTTTTCAGTGCCCATTTTTAACACTTGAGTCACTCACAGCGGCTGGGAGGGCTGATGTCCATGACTGATAGAGTAGGGTTGGAGCTGGGCTCGATGTCACTGCCGCGGCGTCTGCGTCCCGGTTCCTCAAGCTCAGGAGTGAAGATGCTGCTTCCACTACTAGTGCTGGGGCTCTGCTGCTCAGTAGGACTGAAACTCACCGGAGAACGAAAACCATGAGCTTGTGTCCGCCGGGCCCTGGGAAAAGTCTTCCGTCCTGAGTGGAGAGAGAAGATATCAAATTAAGGGAAAGATCATGGTGGTACAGGATGCATGATATTGCTTTTTGGATCATCATAGTTCAGTGTATCCTCACCGTCGCTGTAGTCCTGCAGACCAAATGGTATGTGATATCGTCTAGGATAGGTTCCTCCTTTCCCTGTTTTTTCGAACACTGGTATATCATACTCTGAAATAACAGAGAATAGAATTATGATAGATTGATAATTGGAAACTAATTTTGACTTTTCATGTCACATAGAAGCGGAAAGGAAGGTAAGTACCTACCGGGGAACTCTTGATGGTTATCAGGGTAGCTCAGGGCTCGAGGCATTCGGGATTTGGGATAGGTATCACTGTTAAAATGAAAATCAGTAAAAATTCATTTGGCAATTGTAATTTAAAACCACACATGTGAACTGTATACAACTGTTCAAAATATTTTAATTGATTTTACTTTATTTTAAGTAAGATCTTAGCAAGAAATCAGTGTTTGTCGAGTTTACAATAGTTTTACAGGTGAATTAAGCTGTAAAAACAGAAACAATTTCAAATATATTCAAATAAATGTCTTTATCAATGCATTTAGAATTATAATTTGTGATAATCTCTTCTCTTTGTTTCTTATTATTTTAAAACAACTGTGCTTTATTAAACTTTTCATACATTTTCTCAGGGTACTTTAATGAAGAACTTAAAAAGAGTATTGATTTAAATTGAAAATGTTTTGTAATCTGCGTTTCAACCAATTTTTACACATTTAAAAAAATAAAAATGAAAAATTCGCCATCAATTAATCATCCTTTATTTGATCCAAATGCGTTTTCCGTTTCTTTCTTCTGATTAATACAAAAGATATACTGAAGAACAATGGAAAAAAGCAGCCATGGTCTTGTTTTCCTGTTGAACAAAAAAGAAGTTATTTTGAAGAATGTTGGAAACCTGTAACCGTTGACTTCTAGAGTATTTGTTTTTCTTACTATGAATGTAAGCAGTTGCAAGTTCTCAACATTCATCAAAATGTCTTCTTTGGTGTTTCTTTAAACTCAACTGCTTTAAAACAAGTGAAGGGAGAGTAAATGATGGCAGAATTTTTATTTTGGGGCAAATTATCCCTTTAAATCACATATACATGTTGAACAAAACGTTCTTCCCGAAACCTTTAAATAGTAAAAAAGGAGCAACAATTAAAAGTTAATAGACTAAACATAAATAAATAAAGTAGTAATGCACCTATGGGCACAGATTTACAACAGTTTAATTGTTTCATTTAATTGAAGTTTATTTGTATAACACTATTTACAATAATTACTGTTTCCAGTACCGCCGCTCCCTATATGCAGAGTACGCAGGCTGCGTAGGGCCTCAACTCCGGAGGGGGGCACCATCTCGGCTGCTCAAAAAAATATATATTGATATTTATGTACTAATATTAACATAAACTCAGTGTAAATTAAATATATATTGATAAAATGTTGTTTAATACATTTTTAAAAAATCATTTTATGACGGACGCAAAAACAAACATGTGACGTATTTTATTTCCGTGCAACGTTACTAGCATAGCCGCATACGCACGGCCCGGTCTGGTCCGGTCCACTTATCTTTGCGGCTGCTAGCAGCATATAATTGATGCAAGCTTCAGCTCTACAACAGCAGTCTGGAGCCGAGAAGAGGAAACAAGTACAAGATGAATCAAGTGCATCACTTTCAGGTAACTTCCATGAATCTAGAAAACATATTTTTGGTTGTAAATTGGTAAGTAAATTAGTGAGGCTAACGTTTAAATTTCACCACAACTGCACAAAATCTGCCTTATGTGCTGTTGTTTACATTTAGTTTCTTGCTTTGCTGCTGAGCATTGTGCTTTATAACTTTGACAGGACATGTTCTATGAATTCTCGCGTTTGCTCCTCTTCCACATGTTGCTGATATTTACACAAACTCAATTATTTTTATTAATTTACTTGTGCAATACTTTACAATTCTGTTCGCACACCAGGTACTGTACATATACATGCACTGCACAGTTATTTCACTGTATGTATTATTTATTGGTATATAGTTATTATATTATGTTATATAATTATATTTTATATAATTCTTTGCTGTTATCTTTGTTTATTGCTTCGTCTATTTCTATACATTTCTTATTGGTGCTGTTGTTATTGCTTGTATCACAATGTACTGCAATGACAGTAAAGCCTATTTAGTCCTTATATCAGTGGATTGGTGTGTTTTAAGCCGTTTGTTCATTTTTGTACATTACAATATGAAATAACAAAACTGACTAATAACATTCAGTGATTTTTGAAAGATCATTAATATAAAATGAGTCAAATTACTGTAAGCCTCAGGTCATAAATCATTTTCATAGCATGAATTCATTAATGATGATTTTTTTTCTGAATGTTAACAAAGTTTTTGTTTAAAAATACACTCATTAATTCTTGAAAACCACAAATGTCTTTCATTTATACTGACAGCAGGGGCCAATCTTAGTCACCATAGATTTTAGTGCAAGTTAAATTCACATTTTGGTTGTAGTTTACACATTATTACATATTATGAAGAGTGCTTGACTCGCCCATAGTTTTAATAGTATGTCATGAGTAGGGCCAGACAGAATCTGCGGACATTTTTTGCTATTTCTGCGGAGAATTTTGGTAAAAATCTGCGGATTTCTGCTGAATTATTTTGGGAGTATTTAGCGGAGTATCATAACTAAAACCTTAATATATGAAATAAAAAGTAATAAATTAAGGAATAAAAACTGAATAAATTCAGATTTACACATTTACTCAAGTAAATAAACAGAATTAGGGATGTTCTAAAAATTAGCAGAAATCTGCTGAATTCTGCCGGAAATCGGCGGAAAATCTGCGGAATTCTGCACGCGCAGATTCCGTGTGGGCCTAGTCAAGAGTTTTTCTTTAAATGACTAGTTTCTTCTGTATTGTACATGGAGGTCAATGCTGAAATTTCTCAGAAAAGAAGATGAGGCGGAATGACCAGGGGCCTCATGTATTAACGCTGCATACGCACAAAAACTTTGCGTACGCAAGGTTTCACGCTCACGTTTGGATTTACTAACGAAGAAATGAACGTGGGAATGTGCGCTGGTCCACGCCAACTTCATGCCTGGTGTACGCGCATTTCTTGTGTGTGTTTGTTTTATTTCCATTGGTGACTCCTAGAGGTAATTATGTTAAATTGCACACTACAAAGTGTCTTCGAGCTGTGCAATGGTAGCTGTGTGAGACGTTTACATGCGCATGTCTAGCAGGTATATAAGGTTTCTATACCATGCGGTTGACTAGTCAAAGATTAAAGCGCAACTTTCAGTGATCGCCGGTTTTCCCAATGTAATCGAAGCGATCTACTGCAAACACATTGCTATAAAGGCGCCATCTGAAGATGAATTTGCATACGTGAATCAAAAACATTTCCATTCAATAAATGTGCAAATAAAATATGATGCACAGACTTATTAATGATTCCAACTTGTCTTCCTCGTGATGAAGAGTAAGCAATTTCTGACATGTAGTGGGAGGAAAAAAAGAATAAGTTCATCAGACGCTGGATTCGAACCAAGGTCATGCGCGAACATGTCAAAACATGTTGCCATGCGTTTTACGAGCTACGCCACTCATGCTGTTAAAGATACTATAAAATTTTACACCTCTACATCGCACTAATTCTTTTCCAATCCACTCGGTGTGATGTTTAGACCCAACTGTGATTAGCTAAACTCTCCCTCTCTATTTTTTTTTCTTTTGTTATTAATTCCGGAGGATTATAACACAATGAACAAAATTTTTCTCTGGTCTACCACCGAAAGCAGCACCTCCAAATCACATTCTGTTCAAAAAGTTTCTCTTTTAGCTTGCCATTGCTTTTTCGTTGGGTTTTGTCAAAGTAGAATCATTAGCATATTAGCATATACGGGGGAGGAGGCAGGGAGGGGTTTTGCGCTCGTGCATGTTGCGTTTAGTTTCACGTTCATTCGGATTTACTAAGAGAATGCGTGTGTAATTCGGCGTACGCAGTGTTTTATACATCAGATGTTTTTACTGCGTACGCGCATTTACAGCTTTGTGCGTACGCAATGTTTTAGTATGATTTCAACGCAAATCTTCGTACATGAGGCCCCAGCACTGCTCCAGAGGCACCAGCAGCTGCACTGGTACAGACAGAGGCTGCAGTACTAAGGACCGTCCATCTCTACAGGTACAGAGAGGGTTTTATTTCTTACCTTTTGTAAATGTTTGAAATTATGAATGTTTCTGCAGAAGACATGTCAATGTTTATTTTAATGCAAACAATTATTTTGTAATGTAAATATATGACTGTTTTAAGTATAATTTTGAGTGCTTAAATGTATATTTATGTATATAAATAAATAAATACCTGTTTAAATACATATGTTTGTGTGTTTTTGTTCCTCTGTGGGGGCACCACAGTAAAATTTCGCATAGGGCCCCCTTTTGGCCAGCAGCGGCCCTGACTGTTTCAAAGCAGCTTTACAAAAGATGCACATTATTGTATTACAATGAAATTAAGTTAAAGTTACAATCAAATATAAGTTATTATAAACAGACACTGTTAACCTGCAATCCTATAGAAAATAGGCTGCATGTACTATATTTGTTGGTTAGTTATTAACCTGTCAAGTGGACTGTCCAATGAAGGACAGCTGCCTGATGCTGAATTCTCAGGACTGCTCATTGACAAAGGGTCCAGCATCTTGAAAAGGTAAAACATGAAAAGATAAATCTGATTATGCTGTTGTTCAATTCACTCACATCAGCTAAAACCAAAGTGTTGTCAGACTAATTACCTGGTCCATGCTCTCTGGGATGAACTCGCCCTCACTGTTGATGCTGGTGAAAGAGCCGTTTCTGGCCACCTGCTGCAGAGCATCAGGAATATAACCTGGAGGAGGGGAGCTGCGATCTGTTGACTGAGAACCTGGAGAAGAAGAAGAAGAGATTGAGAAAAGTCAGAAAACTGTAAAAATAAAAAAATAAAAAAAAAATAATAATAATAATATTAATATAAATAATAATAATAATAATAATAATAATAATAATAATAATAATAAATATATATATATATTATATTTGTAATAACTGATTCTTTTATCTTTGTCATGATAACAGTAAAAAATATTTTGCTAGATATTTTATTAAGATACTAGTATTCAGCTTAGTGTCATTTAACGGCTTACGATAAAGAGTTACTAAAACTATTATGTTCAGAAATGTGTTGAAAATGTCTTTTCAGTAAATAGAAATGATATAAAATATATAAAGGGGGCTAATAATTCAAGAGAGCTAATAATTCTGACTTCAACTTTGTATATTCATAATTTATTTTGTGATTCTAGTTTGAGGCAACAAAAAACAAAAACAAATGTACTTTAATAATTAAAACAAAATGGACCAAAAGTAGTAGGAAGGGCATTGTTGAAAAAGAAAATGTTAAGCCTTTTGAGAGGAATACCATATTTGGATAAAAGATATAAAAAGATTTGAACTAAAGTTGTGGAGTTAACTTACACTAAAAAGACGAGATGAACGAAACGGGGGCCAACAAAACAAGGCGAACGAAATGAGGCGAATAAAGCAAAACGAACGAAACGAGACAAACAGAACAAGAAGAGAAGAACGGGACGAAACGACAATCGAAAAGAGACAAGACAAATGAGTTGAGACGAACAAAACAAGACAAACGAAATGAGACGAATAAAATTAATGATACGAACAAGATGAACAAAACGAGTTGAGACGAATGGAACGAGACAAACGAAACCAGACGAATGAAACCAGACGGATGACACAAACAAACCACAAAACAAATGAAACGGATGAACGAAACCAGACGAATGAAATGAACGAACAAAAAAACAAACGAAAGAGGTGAAATGAAGAGGCTCGTTTCCTTCGCCGTCTCGTTTCCTTCATCTCGTTTCCTTCGTCCCATTTTGTCTTGTAAATATCGCATTAATAACTTGTATGTTTCCTACAATGCTCAAAAGAACAACAAAAAAATAACTTAAATAAATAAAAATAAAAATCTACATTTTTTCAGAAAAGCACACATTATAAGCAATAAAAATAGAAAAATTACTGCAGCCAGGCTCTTTTTTTCTCTACACAATAAATATCTTGCACCTCAGAGTGTGCAGATGACACGCAATAACAAACACAGTCATTATCTGTCATGTTATGTGAAAAGACAATCCTGTGAGACAGTTCTGATAGGTAATTTAAGCAAATCATTTTGATGACAGGCTTTGACTCAGGCAACTGAAAATAACTAAAAGCACTACTTGGACAGTAATTGCTTCTCAAGGGGATTCTCGAGCTAATCTGAATGCAGAATGTGAGTGCTATTCTCTCACCATACATGTCAAAATCCCCAGCCGAGTTTTTTTTTTGACAGACACCAAGGTCATACTGTAATTTAACTGTGGTCCAAATTCATATATCTGAGTTTATAAGAGGGATAAAGCCAAAAGCCTTTGAATATTGTATTTTAAATATTTTTTTGAAGTGTTAACAGCAAGAATTCAAGAATCACAGTGCTTATGAAGAAAAAGAAAAAAGAAATAATTGGAAATAGGCCATTATTATGACCGCTATTGGTGTGCAATACAATGAAAAATTCTGTGTTTGTATATAATTGTTTACAGAAATGATTCATTATTATTAATATTAATATTAATAATAATAATATTAAATGATTAATTAATGCTTTTGAAATTTGTGAGTTTGTTCTAGCAAAACAGTAGTCTGTTTTAACACAACATATTTGTTCCTTCAATTAATTTGTTTACTATTATTAATTATTGAATTTATTAATATTTGAAACTCCAGAAAAGAACCTAATTGGAACAAGAAAATTAAAATCTTGTTTTATGTCAGTTTATAAGATCGCTAAAACTTTAAGACATATACTAATATATGAAAAGTAACTGATAATGGCAACTGTTGTTGTTTGAAGTAATAACAGCATTACTTCAAACAGCAAATTTGCTTTGACATTTTTGATTCGCGCAAGTGTTTCTGACCATGTGACTAGCACTTTTCAGGGTTAGTGAATCACCGAGAAGCCATGTAGGCTTGTTTTGACAGATATCCCCTTGAGATCCAATTTCTATCCTTTCTGGTTTTAAAACGAAATTTGCAATATTGTTCAATAAAGTTGGTCTACAGTTTAGTCCAGTTATTTTAGAAATTTACAAAGAAATTGTGTGCACTGACATATTTAAGATCTTATGCAAATTTAGGCATTTCCATCCAATGTTTTTTATTTAAAATACCAAATACCAAAACACGCACACACACACACAAACAAATATATATATATATATATATATATGTGAAACTTGACAACATCAGTTACAATAAGGTATATGCTGAAGCATGCTAATAGGAATTTTAATTTGCCAGTAACCTAGGTTAAGCACTTCCGGCGAACTGTATGCCAATGCAAAGATCTGCACGTTTAAGGTCTGTTTTTTTTTTTAAATCAGCGATCTCCACTGGCTGAGTGATATCCGATATAAAGTGGCTCTCAGATTGTACAAGAAGCACTGCATTAAATTACATGTTTCCCCGCCATGTCTTTAAAATATGAACATTTATTTTACCCCAGTATATTCAATGGAGCTTCTGCACTAGCCAGCCTATTCTGACAGGCGCTTGCGAGTAAACGGCTTTTAGTCTCGTTTTACGCTTGAGCAAATAAAAGAATGCCTAAGTTTATTTAACTGAATGTATTTTAATGACATTACAACATCGATACTGTAAAAGGAACTGTATAAAATGGAAAAAAGTTCACAATAACAGGTCACCGGAAGTTTATCAGTATAGGAAAAACACTAGCTCAGTATATACCCCATTAAGCTATTCCCATGCATTAAAGGTTCCATCAAGTGCTTTGAATAGTGAATTTATATTCATAATTTGATGTAATCTTAAACATCCCATTTTGCACTATTTTATTTTTTTGCACATAAGCCAATTGCACTAGGCACTTTTTGCATAATGAGCACAATTAAAAAAATAAATAAATAAAAAAACACTGTACATTGTTTACATCTGTTTCATTACTCAAATCAGGTTTATATATTGTTTACTTTCATAGACATTTACATACTTACATTTTATAATCATACTTCAGTCACTTCTGTGTATATATGTGTATATATGTGTATTTTTGTGTATGTTGTGTATGATGTGTATGTTGTGTGTATGACTTCACTGTGGACGGCAAAGTAAGAATCTCATTGTACAGGGAGACGTGTTTCCTTACTGTGCACATGACAATAAACAGTTGAATTGAATTGAATGGAACAAAACATAAAGAAACAGCCAATAGAATTATATTTTATGACCGCTTTGACAGCGAGAGAAGTTAGGCTTAAGTGCATAACATGAAAAGTAAATGAGAAGCGTCATAAAGGACATTTCAGATACTAGAGAACATATGATTGGTCAAGATTTTATGAGCAACTAAAGTATGAAGTGAAGTTAAAAAAAAATTATAGATCCATTCAGGCAGAAGTGACAAAATCAAGCTTTAGATGATCACATTAAACAAATTTGGCCAATGTTTTGGAGCCCGATAGCTTATAGACATCCTTAAAACTAACATCTAAAAATGCTATATTAATTTAACGAGACCTTTAAGTAAATATCCCCAATTTCTATTGTATCTCGACTCTAAATGCAACCCACCTATGTGTGCCAGCATGCTCTTTTTATCTGGAGCACTGAAGTCTGTGTTGTCCAAGATGTCATGAGTTGGCAACAGGTCCTTACTGGAGACACAGTTCTGAAAGTGCAAGAATCAAACATCTGTATAACATCTAAGACATTTAGCATTTACATAAGGGCGCAAGTCTGACTAGCGCTTTCTACCTGATCATGGATTATTAACACTCACTGACCTGACTCCATGAGGGGAGCACCAGCAAGATTTTTAGGCTCTTCATATGCACCGAGCGATCCAGCAGCTCCACAGCTTTATCCAGATCATCCTGAGTACTCAATGGAATCACAAGCTACAGAATAGAGAGAGAGAAAAAACAAGATTATGACACATACAGTAACCCTACTAAATTATTAGCCTCCCTGTGTATTTTTCCCCAATTTCTGTTTAACGGAAAGAGGATTCTACACATTTCTAAACATAACAGATTTAATAACTAACTTCTAATAAATGCTGACATTTCTAATAACTTTGCCATGATGACAGTACATAATATTTTACAAGATTTTTTTTCAAGACACTAATAATCAGCTTAAAGTGCCATTTAAAGGCTTAACTAGGTTAATTAGGTTAATTTAGGGTAATTAGCATTGTAGCATTGTATAACGATGGTTTGTTCTTTAAACAATCGAAAAATCGCTATTTAAATAAAAACAATTTTTATTCTAGCTAAAATAAAACAAACAACACTTTCTCCAAAAGAAAGCAGTTTATTAGTAATACTGTGAAAAATTCTTGCTCTGTTTGGGAAATATTCACAGGAGGGATAATAATTTTGAATTCAACTATATATACAAAAACAATCAAGTAAATATTTCAAAATTCCCATGAATGAATGTGTCATTGTACCTCATTATTGGTGTAATGCAGGTCCATGCTCTGTCCAAAAGCGACTTTAGCTTTAGCGCTCAGATCTTCTAGACTGACAGGCCGAGGAAACTGCAGGATCCTAAAGAAAAGTTCCAATTTTTAATTGACAACATCATAATTCCATGTCCTTAGAATACAGCACAAATTCCTGCAAATTATTTCTCTTACAAACTAAAAATCTAATCATTACAATTACATAACTAGCCTTGTACTGAAGATTACTATGCTACAGCAATAATGTGATCACAAAAATTATTAAAGAGCAGGTCAGATATAACATAACTGTCTTGCAGTGTAAAATGTCTGCAAAGTTGATAAATAATGATATTTTAAAGCCAACAAAAAGTCATATGGCCAACTGACTAATCAGAGCAGAGAATGGAGGAGTTTATAGACATTAAGCTCTGAATTGACTCAAGCGAACCGATTTAAAATCATAGCAAAATGATTCTTATTTAAAACTTACGTTCTCTCGTACCTTTTCAAAATGTACACTTTTGTACCATACAGGTGGACATTAGTACATTTAGGGTACACTTTTGTACATTTAAGGTTCACTTTAGCACCTTTAAGGTACTGTGTGGTATGCTTTCTATGCATTAATATGTACCTTTACGGATCTGTTAAGAAAAAAAAAAGTGCCTGTTGAAAAGGTACCGCCCCAGTGACAGATTTTGTATCGTTATTTTTGAGAGTCAAGAATATAAAATTTTATCTCAAAAGACTGCCACTTTGAATTCTTTTTAAAAGAGGGCAGAGCTAAAAATGTCTGTGTGTTAGCATAGTGGCAGATTGACATAGGACTAACCTCCTATGCTAATAAGGGAGAGATCATCTCAGATGGGTGGGGTTTCCCCCTCTGATGACATGTACAAAGGGAGAATGCCAATCAAAGTGTTTCAAAAAATACAATTGATAAATTTATACCATTAGAAACTGGTTATATTCAAACACTGTTGCCATACAAATGTGTTTAAACCCCTTAAAAATTAGATTGTTTCATTAAAAGGTCCAATTTAATACCAATGACCTGCTCTTTAAATAATAAGAACCTATAAAGAATATTATTAATTCATATCCTGACTTAAAATATTAGGGGTCTTTTATCTAAAGCATATTTAAGTGGTTGTTATCATTAGATTCTAATATAAACCCAAACAGATATAAACAAGCATGGCCACCCAAACAACAATTAACTTTGACTTTTAATAAAAGAATTGTCTTAGACAAAAATATTTTATGTAAAATGTTCCTCATTGCCTGGGATAAAAATTACACCGTGACTACAAGGCACGTCGAACAGTTTTAATTAAGAGAAACCACAAGAGAGAAGTGCGTAAAAATAGGAAGTGATGTAGAGCAGAAGCAGGGCTTGTGGTCATTACCTCTTCTCTCCTCTGTACTCAAACTTCACCCTCACATCATTCTGTGAACAAGCAGACGAATGTTACACATCCCAACGCACACCATCATTCATAAAAGTCTCACATAGTTTCGGGAAACATAATGAATATTCAGTACCTGGTAAAAATTATGAGGTAAGTTTTGACTCTTCTAAAGCATAAAAATACCATAATATATTTACAGATATTCAAGAAACATGCCAAGTGAACATTCTTGTTTATCTGAAAAACAATGCTGAAGTCAGATATTCTGCTTTGAAGATGTGCATTACGTGCCGGATCATCTGTCTTTGTTTTGGTCTTTTAACCCACCCACTGCCAGTTTAGCCAATTATATTTCGGCATCCCAGATCGCCTTTGTGAAAAACATCGCATTTGATTCATTCAGTCAGAAAGGCTCTTAAAGCATGTGTACGTGACTGAAATGCGACCTCCGGTGGACTGTAGCAAACTCTGAAATGAGACGTGGATTCAGAGTTCCACATGAGTTGGTTATTAATTACCCAATAATATAATTATTACAAACATAAACACTAGATGAGCAGGTTACATTGTAACCCTGTGTCCTAACAACATGCTACATGACGAGATACGCAATGTTAAGTAATTTGGCTGAAACACCAGACAAAACGCGACATAAATTTAAATACAGACATTCAGAGGCATAAACAAAGTGCACTTACAGCACTCCAACAAAATGGTAAGGTTTATAATAGAAATAATACATATTAAACCTCTTTAGCATTATTATATGTACATGCTGAATCACTGACAGTGAGTCACATATCTAAAGTTCAATTACAAACGGTTTGTTTCATTTTCAACATCTGATGTAACGTTAAACTATCTGCTTCTGCTTTCAGTAGTATGGCAATAAATGTCATTTAAATTGGCAGTCAAACTCACATTATTAGCATTTAACACTAAATAATGCACATGAGGTGTACCTGAGGGGACCATTGTCAGTTTGTTTTATAAAATATGAATTTCAGGTGTTGGTTAGGACAAAATAAATCATATCTTAGCTTGGAAAATATTCCTTCCATCATATGCTGTTGCTTTTATTTAGAACACGACTTAAATCAGCCTTCAGGCTCGCTCCAGTTGTTGTCGTCAAACTGGCAACCAGCGCTTGCATGTGTTTTAAACCAGGCGTGCAACACCTAGTTCAACCACTGGGTGTCAAACTTACATACTGCACCTTAAAGCAATAACGTGAATATTAAAAATATTCAATTGATTTTTAGACTTGTTTTACAATACTTCTTCCTGTCAAGACTTTTAACATAGATGTTTTAATAACCCTTCATTTTCTTAACTTCGGTATAAAAGAGCATTAATGTTAGTAATTTCCATGAATCAGTTAAAAACTGTCCACTACAATTAATACATTCATTATTTACAGTGTATTTTTCCTGTATGTTTTTATAACAAATGATTTATTTATTTAATTTATTTAAGACACATAAGCATAAACAAAAATAGTTTAAACCATAATCAATTGTTAATACGTGCACTGTTCTGAACTGACATTTTTTTTTAAATATTTAAATATACGATAGAAGGTACGGATGTAGTATATCTTGAAGCTCATTCCATACATATGAAACATACTTGAAGAATTCAGATCGACCTAACTCTGAGTGAAAAAATGGCATTTTAAGTAAGAGTATATCTGCTGATCTGTTATTGTAAGTATTTGAACAGTACTCCAACAAACTAGATATATACTGTGGTAATTTACCAACTAAAGCTTTAAAAATAAAAACTAAGATATGTTGTAATGATTTTGATGACTGTTTTTTTTTGTGCAAAATTTGTACACATGCTATATGGAGTGAATTAAAATACTGAAACAACACAAGACCTAAAACTGTCCAACTTAGTCCAAGAACCTTATTTTACATATAAATGTTTTTTACATTAAACTTTTTTTGACTGTTCAACACAAGCTTTGACTTTACTGAAAAGTTCCTTGTAATGGCATTAATATTAGAAGAAACATACATAAACATACATTAATATTAGAAGGGCATGAATTTAAAAAGCGTTGTTTTGACTTCATCACCCTCTGCACTATTATGTACTTAGTCTGTGTGCACTAACCTGCAACATCACCATTATTCATCTGTTTGCATTTCAATCTGTTTGCATTTGGGTAAGAAGTGACAGATAAGCTGTAGTACTGATTTATAATGACCATCCATCATGCTGAGTTACATACAATGAGATAACAGTCTGGGCTCCTTTTAAATGGCCCTATGATTTCCGCGATGCAAAAAAACTGGACGGAATTACATAATTAAGTAGTAAAAATTAAATTAGATGCATAATGCAAACCGTTAAAATGTTTTACACTCGTGACGTGGACTAAAGTTTGTCAAAATTAAACCACTAAACAATTTTCGCATAAAACAGTTAAATATATTGCAATATGAAGTCTGAATGTTCTGCTTGTCTGTGTAAATCAATGGTGACATTTCATTTATGTGCATTTACTCAAGCTTGCATGTGAGACACTTCAGCGAGGTTTTCAGTATCAAATGGATGCAATGTAGTAAAATGTTTGCTTTAACTTAAATTATTAATAATAATAATAATAATAATACATTTTATTTAAAAAGCGCCTTTCTGGCAACTCAAGGACACCATACAATAAAACAAGAGCAATAAAACAACACGAGAACTAATAAAAAAAATATACACAGCAATAGTTCAGATAACATGAATTAATTATATATTAAAATCCGTCTTAAATAAGTTGGTTTTTAGTCTTGATTTGAATCATGTGAGGGAGTCAATGTTTCTGATGGCAGGTGGTAGAGAGTTCCAAAGACGGGGAGCAGAGCGGCTGAATGCTCTGCAGCCCATAGACGATAGATGAGCAGAGGGAACAGACAAGTGGACGGAGGAAGAATTATTAGAAATTAAATTAATAGTATTAACTAGGGCTGTGAAATTAATCAAAATCGAATCGCATTTGAAACAATGCAATGAGTTAATCACAAGAGGCTGCAATATAAAATATATATGTATACATGTAAACAAAAATAACGAAAACCATCTGAGGTGAAGTACTTCAAAACCAGTTCGCTACGCTTCAGAAAATTAAACATGCTACACTTTTTGTGAGGCATCGCAGACATGCTATTGGTTGTTGTGAACTATGCAACATTACACAAGAAGAAATGATTGAATCTTGTGTCACAATAACGTTGTTATTTTTACGACTTCCCACAACACCCTGCATCAAGCAAATTGTGCTGAAACCGTGGGATCTGACGGGGGCTTTATAGCTAGCCAATTGAGTGAGCACACTTTCGTTCTGCTCAGTCAGAGTTGCGCAACTGAACTACGCCTACGATGAAAAAAGGAATCAAACAAGAAAGTGCTAACAAGTGGGGTATTGGCAACTGCTGCTTCAGAAGCACTAATAGACGAATTAATATCAAAGAAAAACAACGTTTGTAACATGGGAATATTTTGGTTTCAAAGTCACAGGCACCTAACAAAAACAGGTCATTTTTAAAAGCTGTCACAGAATTGTTGCTATGGCTTACAGACTGTTGAGCTGAAGTTTAAATTAAATTAAAATCAGCTTAAATTAAATCGTAAATCAAATCACAATATCTGTCAAAAAAAAAAACATTATAATTAGATATTCCCCAAATCGCACAGCCCTAGTAATAACCTTAAAAAACTAATAAATTTAATGAAATTTGGAAAGAAATAAAACTAATTTAATAGGTTCAACATCTGTCTTAGGGACGATTAGCTCCAACTCATTTATCAGAAACAAAATACCTCAAATATGGAGCTAAACATAATTGAGGACACCTCATTGTGAAAATGAACATTTTTATCCATTTCTCAGTAAATATGGGTCATATATTTTGATGCATTTGAACAAAACATATTAATTAAACAAATTTATATTTAATAAAATAATATTTAGGCCCCCGAACATCTTCAGAAATATAAAGACAACACAATACTACCCTAATTTATAATAATCAAATCATTATACAAATTTTAAACCGTTGTTGTAAGTTATTTTGCTAGATTAGCTCCAGACATGGCTTTACTACTCACTAATCAATCTATATGCAAGAATATAATATTGTGAAGCTTCCAATTGAAAACATGAATCTAAATGAGAGATTTGTGAGGGGTGTACTCATATATGCTGAGCACTGTAGCTGTTGCTGATGTGAATTAGAAAAGAGGCGATACAGACCTGGTTCTTGGGAGAGGAGGCCTTGGGTTTGGCCAGGTCAGACAGAACAGATGGTCGACTGGATCGATGCAACACCGCCAGGTCTTGCATGATGGAATTCAGGGCCTCCTGCTCATCTGCAATATATTTTATTATGTATTCACATTATATTTATTAATCCTCAATTAGGCATGGGACGATAACCGTTTTCAAGGTATACCACGGTTTGGAAAAGTCAAGGTTTTAAAACCATCAAAATCTTCTGCTATACCGTTCCTAAGGTGTGTTTAAGATTTTTTATTTACATTTTTTTTATGACAACTATATCTCCAGCAGAAAAGATATTCAAAGATGCCATTTTAAATTGTAAAAATATCATTGTGTTTTTGAAACAGTAGAAGACAGCAGAAGTCAGAGATTCATTTGAATTATTTAGCCTGACATGTTTACTGCTCCAAAATATTTTAAGTGTTTCTCAAAATAAAATCTATTGTGTTCAAAGGGGGAAAGAGTTTTTGTTTTTTTAGCCAGACATTTAAAAAGAACATATTTTATAGCAGTTATCACAAGACTGCATTACCGTAAAACCGTGACATTTTTATCCAAGGTTATCATACCGTCAGAATCCTGTGCCGGCCCATGCCTATCCTCAATACAAACACTTAAAAAAACATTTGTGCACTTACCCATTTTGACTGATCACTGATTCACCCAGGAGTAAAGGAAAGAGGATTCTCCCATGAAATGGGATCCTTTCTCCTATACAAAAAAATAATAACACTTTGATTATAAAATAATCTAATTATTTATTAAGATGACGTATTTGTAGTGATCGAATTGACCAAAATCACTAGGTCTAAATTGCACAATTATAGCTTTACAATGCAACAAAACAACACAGATTAATAATGACACAAGGGAAAATGCTTTATAAATTATACAAAATCATGACATTAGAATGAAATAATCTCTTATTAAAAGCCACATTTATTGTCCTTCATTATCAAGCTCTTAAATGTTTAATACGACAATATCTTGTTTAACTCTGAGGTGTTTAAACATGTGTATCTAACTTTAAATTTCAAAATCCTGACAGCAAAACACAAGTCAACATATAATAACTGATAAATAGCTTATCAGAGAATGTCATATGTCAAGTCACTTTTTACCATTTATGACCACGTGTCATAATCTGTGCACAGCACATTAAAAACTCTCAATATGATATGCAATTTGATGAACAACTAAATAAAATGTAACTTGAAGTTTCCTTAGAAAGCTAATACTCAAGCTAACTGGTTAGCACACATACCTGTCAAAACTACTGCATGTCAAAGAAGCAACCAAATGCGATTGCATGATTATATATAACATAAATCACAATGGCATTAATGTATTTATAAAAATATAATATGTGCCTCTAAATATTGTTAAATAAAACTACTGCACTGACACATTTATAACACACTGTTAGCCGTTTAGCTCTTTTAACAGTTGGGCCACAGTTAGCATTGCGCAAACATGCTAACGAACAGCTCAAACAGCTATCAGAAAGACACAAACAGATATGTCTGATTTAACTGTCTTCGTAATTCAGTCATCCTGTTAATCGCATAAAAATAAACATCATTTGATCACCTGGGTGAGCTCGATCCGTTCACTTCCTCATCCAAAGATGTGAGGCCTCGAGAGGAATCTGACACTCTGACAAGACTCAAATAAACGGCTTTAACTTCAGTCCAAGGCCTGCCTGCACGGCCAAACCATCTCCCGCTGACCACAGCTCACTTTGCAGGTAAGCGAAAGCTGCTGACGGTAAATCCAGGGTAATGTGAGGATGAATAAAGCTAATCTTCGGCCGCGGACGGAGGTTTGTTTACATTAGGTTAAACGCGCTCGACCTGACGAAGATCAACTGTTGTCAATTAGACTGAGAGAAGATTCGCGATGTACGACTATAACAGTGCACAATCTGTGAAGGTCTGGTCAGAAAATTAATCCAAGAAGACGAAACGGCACATTTAGCAAAAGGTGTTAGGTATTAAGTACACTTAAAACACTGCAAACGCAGACACACACACACTACTTTAGAACAGCACCGCTGTCTTTTCACTCAAACTCACATGTCTCGACAGCGCCATCTGCCGACGGACACATCGTAATAAGGCCTCGGATGGTCAGAGACGCGGCAGTGTCAAATTCTAACCAATCAGAGAACGCGGTTAGATTGTTTTCGACCAATCAGAATATTGAATGCTCTCCGAAAAACTCCCATTTGATTTACAGGCACATGTTTGCTGCGTGCGTGAATGCACATCCGCTATGCACAGGGTTTTCACTGGTTTTATGAATATTTTTTAATTGAGATAAATCAGTCTATACCGTTAAATACAAACGGCACATTCATGAATGACTTAGGTCTGTCAGAGTATATATAGATATATTATTTTCTCCTAGTTCATCAAAACATTCTGCCATCTGGTGGAGAAAGTTGTGGATTGCATAAAGATGATTAAAGGGTTAGTTCACCCAAAATTGTAAATTCCAGTACCCTTAATTACCCTGCCTCATGAAGTTCACTGACATTTTACCATGCTCCAGAGATGTTTAAAATCCAGAAAACGAACCAAAAACCTTGTGACTTCTGTGTTTCAACTGTGATCATACAAAGCTCCAAAAAGATTTTCAAAGATCAGAATTATTCATTCATTTTCATTTCAGCTTAGTCCCTTTATTAATCATGGGTTGCCACAGCGGGATGGACCACCATCTTATCCAGCATATGTTTTACATAGCGGATGCCCTTCCATCTGCAGCCTATCACGGGGATCACATCCATACACACACATACACTGTGAACCAGCGACCTTCTTGCTGTGAGGCGGTTGTGCTAGCCACTGCGCCAACATGACCCCAAGCTTTAATTTGTGCTCCTTAATTAATTACAAAATAAATTTCTTCTTTGATGTCTTCCATGTTTGATCAGGGTGCATGTTTACTACGGGCAAAATGAGGCCATAGTTTTTGACTCATGTTTGGCCTGTTGCGCTGATGACACTACTGGCAATACATGATACTGTAGTAAACGCACACCCTGACTAGCTGACGCAAGAGAACATACACTCACCGGTCACTTTATTAGGTACACCTTACTAGTACTGGGTTGGACCACCATTTTGCCTTCAGAACTGCCTTCATCCTTCATGGCAGAGATTCAACAAGGTACTGGAAATAATCCTCAGAAATTTTTGTCCAAATTGACATGATAGCATCACACAGATGCTGCAGATTTTTTGGGCTGCACACCCATGATACGAATTTCCCATTCCACCTCATCCCAAAGGCGCTCTATTGGATTAAGATCTGGTGACTGTGGAGGTCATCTGAGTACAGTGAACTCATTGTTATGTTCAAGAAACGAGTCTGAGATGATTAATTCTTTATGACATGGCACATTTGGTTTAATTAGGCCAAAGTGTGCCAAGTAAATATCTCCCACACCATTACACCACAACCATTAGCCTCAATCGTTGATACAAAGCAGAATCGATCATTGCTTCCATGGTGTGGATGCCAAATTTTGTCCCCACCATCCTGGTAGCTACTAAAAGATGGGTACACTGTGGTCATAAAGGGAAGGACATTTTCAGCAACAATACCAGCAGAGCTGCAGCTCACTGGATATTTTCTCTTTTTTGGACCATTATCTGTAAACCCCAGAGATGGTTGTGCATGAAATTCCCAATAGATAACAGTTTCTGAAATACTCAGACCAACTCGTCTGACTCCAACCACCATGCCACATTCAAAGTCACTTAAATCCCCTTTCTTCCTAATTCTGTTGCTCGCTTTGAACAGCAGCAGATCATCTTGACTATGTCAACATGCCTAAATGCATTGAAGTGCTGCCATGTGATTGGCTGAAAAGAAATTAGCGGTCACATGCATTTGGACAGGTATACCTAATAAAGTGGCCAGTGAGTGTATAATCACACAGGGTCTTAATGTTTTGAGGGTTTTTTTGGCACCCAAAAGTGTTCTTGGAGCTTCGTGTGATTACAGTTGAACTATTGAAGTCACATGACAATGCTTTTGGCTCCTTTTCTAAACCATAAACATGGACCATTGCTGATGAGAGAGCTCTCGGTTTTCATCTAAAATATCCTAATCTGTGTTCTGAAGATAAACGAGGGTCATCAAGGGATTGAAGCCATATAAGGAAGAATAATTAATAACAGTATTTTGTGTGAACTAAATCTTTAAATATAGATAATTTTTCCCCATCATTTATTAGAAGGTCATCTCTATTGAATCAATGTCACACTTTAATGTAATTAATATGTAATGTAATGTAATGTAATGTAATGTAATGTAATGTAATGTGTGTATTATATAGTGCATTTATTGTGTATGGCCATATACCCAAAGCGCTTCACAATCATGAAGGGGATTTCTCCCCACCATTACCAGGATGCAGCATCCACTTGAATGATGTGACTACAGTCACAGGACAATGGCACCAGTGCGCCCATCACACACAAGCTATGGTTGGAGTGGAGAGACAGATTAGGGGATGATTAGGAGGCCATGATGGGTAAGGGCTGATGGAGGGAATTTGCCCAGGACACCCCTACTCTTTACAAGAAGTGCCATGGGATTTTTAATGACCACAGAGAGTCATGACCTTGGTTTAACATTTCTGATGATTTTCATTAGCATAAGTGTGTTCAAAGATAAACAGCACACAAGGAATAGTGTATGAAGTAATTTATTTTTTACAAAATTCATCAACTTACACATTTGTCACATATTTAACAGTTTCAAAATGTCACCCAGTGCATTGAGTGACTTCACAGCCCTCAAAAACAAAGCTAATTTTGTCCAAAAGGAGTATATTGTGATCATTTACCCTTATACACATTTTGCCTATAAGGCTAGTGCACTAAAAAGAGGCACGATTTTACATTTCGCTTTAAAGGTTTTACACTAAAGAGTTTAAATGGAAAAAGAACAAAAATCATCACTGTTTAATAACTACATCCACACTGAAATCAAGATTGATATTGTTTTGATTAGACGTGTTTTCTTTTCAAACTATTTACTTTAATATTAGTGTCCACAGGACAGGATATTAGCATGATCTTCTAAAGTAGCTTTGTAGTCGTAATAGGATTAACTCACTCATGTTTGCTTTAGGAATTTACTGCTTGTAAGCTAAAAGTCTTAACTGTATATAAGCGTACAATGTTAAATAAATAATGAGCTTAGAAGTGAAGCTAATTTAACAGTAAAATATCTATATACAAGGTCTCTTTGACCATATATCACACTCATTTTTAAGGCTGATTGAAATGAAAAGCTGCAAAAAAAGAGAAAATGACACTGATAGTTTGGTATAAATAAATTTGAACAAAATATCACATTTCTGACAGATTCGCTTATATAAATAGTGCCTACGCTAAACATTTGAAAAATATTTGGTCTTCTGATTGGTGATCAACAGTCAAACAAAAAGAAAAATCTAGGATCTGTCTTAGAGGCACATGACATAAAAATAAAAGCAATATTGTTCACTGAATAAACGCTGGAAGACGATATACACAATGACTCTTAAGAGTCTTTGGACCTTTTTTGCGCTTAACACAGATTAATCCAGCATATTATTTTCGGTCTGTAAATCTAAGGTTGATGGACGCTCCTGGACAGAGCAGGCCATGGGTCTTGGCGTGAACCTCTGTGGTCTGAGGAGAAACTTCAATGTGGAAGTTCTGCAGGAGCTGCATGAGAAGAACATCAGTACACCATTAAACAATGTAAGTGGATCTTGCTTTAATGTTGACATTTAAGATACTTGTGAAGAAACTACACACCTGTGTGAGAGCCAGATGCATCTCAAGCTCGGCTATTCTCCTTCCGATGCAGCTGCGGATTCCATAGCCGAATGGGATAGAGCCGAAGTTGTCAACGCGGTCGGAAGCATCCTTGCGGATCCAGCGATCAGGACGGAACTCTTCAGGGCGGGGGAAGTTCTCCTCATCCATAGAGGTGGAGTAATGACACAGAGCCAGCTGAGTCTGTGAACATAGGACGTTGTTGAGTTTTCCTGACGTGGCAAGAATTGTTTAAAGACATGTTAAAAGACTTAATTTAAAGAGAACCTATTATGCCCCTTTTTACAAAGATGTAAACTAAATTTCTGAGGTCCAAAAAACTTGACAAAATAATATTTTATAACTCTTTGAAACTACCCTTTTTAGACATCCATCCAAATTGCACTGTTTTGAGGATTCTTTAAACTCAATTGAGATTGAGCCTTCTTGTCAAAAGGGGGCAAGCTACAAATGCTATCATGATAGCAGCAGATTTAAAAAGTAGCTAATGCTATCTCTGTGCAGAACTGAAAATGTCAAAGGATTTAAACTGAATCTGTGGTCCTTGGTGATTTATATGCAAGTCAATGGTCACTCGCTTTTAGGAGTAAACATTAACATGTACAAACAAGTTCTTGGTGTATCATCAGAAGCGAAGTGGACTCATTTAAACATCTATGTACAGTAAGTGTTTATTTTTATTCATTCATTCATTCATTTTCTTGTCGGCTAAGTCCCTTTATTAATCCAGGGTCGCCACAGCGGAATGAACCGCCAACTTATCCAGCAAATTTTTACACAGCGGATGCCCTTATAGCCGAAAGCCATCTCTGGGAAACATCCACACACACACTCATACACTACGGACAATTTAGCCTACCCAATTCACCTGTACCGCATGTCTTTGGACTGTGGGGGAAACCGGAGCACCCGGAGGAAACCCACCCGAAGGCAGGGAGAACATGCAAACTCCACACAGAAACACACACTCCACAGAGGTTTGAACCAGCCACCCAGCAACCTTCTTGCTGTGAGGCGTCAGCACTACGTACTGCGCCACTGCCTCGCCCATGTGTTTATTTTGAACTCAACTCAATTCATGTTTATTTCTATAGCGCTTAGCAGCTTAACATGGAAGTTCTAGTGAATTAAAACTGCGTCAGTTCAGTTTTCACAGTTTAAGTTCAATTTAGTCCAGTTCAGTGTGGTTAAATTTCCCTGCTGAAAGTACAAACGCTAAAGAGCTAATCCACCAATGTGCAGCGCCACAAATCCCAAACCAAGCAAGCCAGTGGCGAGGAACAAACTTCGCCAATTGACGAAAGTGAAATAAAGAAAACCTCGAGAAACCAGGCTCAGTTGGGTAAGACCATTTCTTCTCTGGCCAAACTTCTTGTGCAGAGCTGCAGCCTAGGTGCTGGAGGTTATAATAATATTATTAATAATAATAGGTGGCTATTGACTTTCATTATACAAATCACCAAGAACAGATTTAGCTAAAAATGTTCTTTAATGTTCCAATGAAGAGCAAAAGGTCACCTACATCTTCAGTGGTGATTAAATTAAACATTTTGAATGAGCTATTCCTTTAAGGATCACAGATTACGCTGATATGGGCTGTTGTTAGATCGGAAATGGCTGCGGCCAGAAGTTAACGAGAATTATTTATATTATTTATTAAATTTTTTAAATTTATTAAAAGTGTTTTATTGACTTCTACCCCCACCTAAACCCTTCTGTCACAGTAACGTAAAAACAGTAGTTGTATCGAGTATTATTTATACTATCTATTAAATTACCCAATAAATTGTATTATTTAACGCCTGCCCACACCCCAACCCTAAACCCAACTGTCACAGTACTGTAAAAATAATAATTATTGTTATACAGTGTCATAAAAAAGCTGCTATATTAATGTGCATATATCACTTCCGGCCAGCCGTCTATCTGATCTAAACTTTACTCAGAACTGATATTAAAATATTAACTTTGCTTTATTATTTACAATCTATTGATCTATATATATGGTGTGGTTTAGAAGATTCCCCCCAAAATCAGTGATAAGGAAAGTGCTATATAAATGTTGGGAATAATAAGGAACAAGGTTTAACCGTTTCGTCAACTATGGTAATTAAGATGTAATTCTGTCTGCCTTTTAAAAAAAAAATCTGAAGTATTTCTACAAGAAATGAATAAACCACAATTAATTTTGTGATTCTCAAAGTTTCAAGAATGTATGTTCACCCGTAAAATGTATTGCTATTGAACTTTTTTTATTTGTTATTCTTTTAATAGTTATCAATACTTTCAAATTACATTTGAATTTGAATTAATTATTAGAAGTAATAAATAATAAATACATTTTACAGAAGCCTCCTAATGCAGTGAGATCGAAATGTAGGGGGAGTACAAGTCTTGTTTTTGAGACACAAAATATCTACGTATATCCAAGTAAAGGTAATTCATAAACCTAGAAGTGCAGAAAGATCAGGCAGGAAACAATGCTTCATTTTATGGGGCAAGTTTTGACCTGTTTAAGATGAATATATAAAAATAGACCATTTTGAGGGACGTTAAAGATAACAATGGTCCTAACATATTTCCTGTTTTACTTTTTCATTTTCATAGCTTCAAAGAATCTAAAAAGGTCCACATTTGAATGATGTTATAAAAGCTATTTTAAGTTATGGTTGAATTCCCTCTTATGAATCAGTTTGACAACAAGCAGGAAATGTTCATGGGCCAATGACATCACCACATTGAAATGGTCAGTTACATGATACATGCTGCTCTTACCCCTTTAGGAATAAGATAACCTCCAACGATCAGATCATCATGTGTAACACGTCCATTTCCAGGGAGAACAGGGAAAAGCCTGTGTGCAGTAGAGGGATGAAGTTAAATAATGTTTTGTTTTAAACAGTCACCCTGTATCTCAACCTAAATAACAATATTTAAGATGAATTTTATTTTCACAATGGTGGGCGGAGCTTACCTGAGTGTCTCTTTAACAAGCCCTCTAATAAGCGGCAGATAAGGAACATCTTCTCCAGTTGGGACTCGACCACCCAGCACTCGGTCCACTTCCTCAAAGATCTGCTGCTGTATTGTGGGATGCCTCGCCAGAAGGTATGTGCTCCACGACAGCGTAAAAGAGGTCTGTGAAGGAGCAGAGGGATCAAAATGTTGAGGAATTCTGAAGAAATTCTCTGTCTCTGTTAGAAGGTTGGAAAATATTCTTTTATTTCGAGATTCAAAGATCTCAATATACAAGTTGTTTAATGTACGATTTATGAAAATGCATGCATTCCACATGAGCTGCATTAAAGAGTTCACCATGAGATACACCATGAGAAAACACTAAGTGCCACTCTAAATGCAGATTCTTGGCTATTTTGACTGGTAATTAAGAAATCGAAGGATTTTTCAGGGTTTTTCAACGTTAGAGTCAGCAAGAAATCAAAATGTATTTTCTATGTTTCGAAATATATATAGTAAGACTGTTATAAATTGTATATAATTAAGTTATGCACCTAAATGTTTTGTAAAAATAATCTTTAATCAAACACCTTAATTTTCCCTCCCCCTCAAAATGACTTTTATGCAATTCTGGTCACATGGTCTGCCTTTAGGGCGGGGCTATCAGCTTGTGTCTTGTTTCTGCACTGCCTTTGCAGTAGGCAGACATCCTAAGTTGAGAATAGTCATTCCCGGTTGTGTTTGACGCGTTTTGCAGGAGGTTTCGGGAGTTCTGCCACATGAAACATTTCAATAGGTTGTGGGGGGGTGTGTGTGTGTGGGGGGGGGGGGGGGGGGTGACAAGGGTGAGGGGTGAGAAGGGTGCTCGACTTATTTAAGGACTGGGAGGGAGACGCCCGATGCATAGAGACTCCCCAAACTTCCGAGAGACTTGGGATGTCTGCTATTCCGGCATATGTATTTGAACCAAACTATTCTGGCATATGTCCCTTCTAGCCACAACCCAGTACACCCATACACTCTCGCATTCACACACAGTCATCCACTAAGGCCAATTTTGTTTACCCAATTCACTTATAGCGCATGTCTTGAACTGTAGGAACACGAAGAGAACATGTAAACAGGAGGGACAGTTGAGGCAGGAATGTGGGAAGCAGAGAGAGTAGAGAGAGAATGGAAGGATTGACCAAGGACCTCGAGTCAGGACTCAAACTTGGGTCACTGTGAGCACCACTGTGCAATATGTCGACGCACTTAACCACTGGGCTATTAGCGCCAACTATTGTCGATGTTTAACATATCAATTAAATGTAAGAATTTGACTAAATAATGTTGCATATGTGGATATCTGGTGGCACAGTGGGTAGCCCTGTCGCTTCACAGCAAGAAGGTCGCTGGTTCGAGCCTTGGCTGGCCCAGTTGGCAGTTTGCATGTTCTCCCCATGGTCGTGTGGATTTCCTTCGGGTGCTCCAGTTTCCCCCACAGTCCAAAGACTTGCGCTATAGGTGAGTTGGAAGGGCATCCATTGCGTAATAGCGTATGCTAGCTAATTAGCGGTTTATTCCGCTGTGGTGACCCCTGATTAATAAAGAGACCAAGCCGAAAAAGTCTAAAATCTAACTGTACATCCACCCTCAACTAAAAAAGATTACTTATGTCACAGCTATACTACATCTTTTATACAAGACTGTGATTACAAAACCACTGATTCACTCCCATGCTCTGATTTTCCCAAACTTGTCCTCCCCCCCAGTGCCGCTTTTGTTAACCGCCTTTCAGAGATCACCCAGTCAACATTATTCACTTTACCCCCCTTGTTAAGTGCCCTTTCTCTTCACCCCTTAATCCTGTAACGAAACACCTGCAATGCTTCCCTCCATTCATCATTAGTTTTTATCTCGGCTCAATCTGGGCCTAAGAGAGTTGCTGTCATGTGCGTTCAGCTCCAGCGATCACACTCTTTGTTTTTGGGTGACTAATTCCTAGAGCCTTAACCCAAAACAGGGACCTTGCCCGATCGAGGTGAAGGGAATTCAAGACAGACAGGCAGAGAGGGAACGATTACATGACCAGTTTTGGCTCACGCCTGCTAACGTGATCCTACGGCTGAATGAAAAGGAAAGATCAAAGAGAAGAGGATGCCAACAGACACATCAGCGAAACAGGAGAGCCTTGGTGGCTCTTGTTTATTGTGGGTGAGATGTATGGCTTGAGGTCAGCGTGGGGTCAGGTGAACACAGAGGTCCCCATGGAGACGTTGGACACCCGTTACGATCTGACCATTTGAAGGGAGTTCACGGGAGGAGAAAATGGCTCGTGAGACAAGGTCCTGATGTGAAAGTTCATTTATCATCGCCATTAGCACAAGCGTTTCCCCAGATGTCTCAATTAACAATGTGCCCCTGCTTCCTAAATCACTTCTGCTTGGAGATACTTCAATGGAAGTACGAGCAGCAGCGTATAAATTGACTAATTTGGCTGGCCAACAAAGCGAACTTGTGCCAAATTATGAGTCACGGATTACAAGTTGAGAAGCGATGACTTGTAATGCCCTTATTCCCAGCACCCCAGTCCTTACCGTGTCCACCCCAGCCAAGAGCATTTCTGTCATGTTTGCGTAGATCTCCTCTAGATTCATCTCTCTGGTGACCAGCATGTGAGTCAGCAACCCTCCTTTAATCTCTTCGCTCTTCTCCATCTGCTTTTTGATCTCGGAAAGCCTCTTGTCCACGTGGATTTGACCTAAAACAAACATTAAGCTTTTAATGAAACGGAAAAAAGCTACTTTGTCACAATGTCCCATCACACCACAGTCCTTCTGTTCTTACTGAATTTAAAGAGGCCGTCCCATGAGCTGCAGAATTCCTCCCAGGGTTTGGGAATGATGGGACGCAGCCATTTGGGAATGGCACCAGCGTACATGGTGGTCTTAAAGGAGCTGAACATGAGGTGTAATGCAGTAATGTACTCCTGACTCATCTTGGGAATTTCATTTTCCAAGCAGCCCAGGCGAGTCTCGTATAAAATAGTTGCAACACCTAAGAAAGAGTCAAATATGTTTTACTCATCATATTGCTTAACATTTATGTACTGACCATATTATATAGATATCCTAGTAATAAATGCAATTGCACACTGGATCGGCTCTATATGTTTATTTGAATTCTGAGTAGGTTGACTTCCAAAAATCAATCACTTCAAACAGCGTTAAGTCATTTAGTATGCAAATTACAAAGCTAATATTCGAAACATATCATCTGTGTATGAGATAAGAACACAAAAACTCAAACCGAATTGTTTTGAATGAACTATTGATGTAATTGTAGCTCTGCAGATTAAATTAAATCCTTGCTAGGCTGAATAAACTAATTCAGACCTCCGTGATAGTGCTGTTAGTTTGAACTACTTTTATGGCTGAAGTTGAAGATGTTTACATTCTGATAAACTTTGTGTCTTTGTCTTTAATCTAATGTGAATCAACATTGTGCTGACTGAATTGAGCTGATTAATGATAGTGAATAGGATTAGTTTCTTTGTTCATAAACAATGCAACACTGACACTGTTATTGATCAAAACTGAATCAACATTAAACTGAATTGAGCTGATTAATGACAGTAGCTGTTTCCATCCAAAAAATGCAAATTAACTTTATGTGCAAAACTGGATTATGGCATAAAAGATGTGCGAATAAAGCAGCGTTTCCATCCAACGAGTCAAAGTGACCAAAATCGTTACTTCCTGATTAACTGGTGACAAATATCAACCGTAAAAACAGAATGGCTTGCACCTCAGAAGGCAATCCTGACTTGCAGTGATCATGTGGTGGCGCTTTAAGACGTGAGATGCGGAGCACAGACACTCTTGATTTTGGAGGTCACTAATAATATAATAACAATAACACTAAATCGTTTGTGCAGTTTAGAATGACCAAAACAACATTTCAGATGTTCTACAGTGTGCTCAGCCTGCTGGTTTGTCCATTCACACACATTTTTATCGTCACATGATCTCTTATAACAAAATCACATGACCATTTTAATGCACATACTGGAATTTGTATGGAAAAGTGTTTCCAACGCAGTTGCGCATCTTTTCATATCATCCTTTCATACTCAGTTATCATTTTCACCCTTTCATACTCAGTTATGTGCATGTTTTTTATGCACATTATCTAAATGTATGCACATCTTGGCATTTCCATCAAGCAGTTTTCATGCGCATTTAAAAAATCCACTGTTATTGATCCAAACTGAATCAAGATTAAACTGAGTTGAGCTGATTAATGACAATTTTGTCATCTGCATAGCTGTTCTTTGTTAGCGTAAAGCTGCTTTAAAACTATATTTTATAAACTGCTATACAAATAAATAGTAAAAATGTTAAAAAAAACTAATTTAATGGATTTAAAACTCTAAAGTCATTTCTAAAGTCATTTCCATATGCCCATTACTGTCTCTGGATCATCTGCTTAACAGCTCGATTCAGACCTCCAAGGTAAGTGGGTGTAATTTCATTTATGCAGAGCACTCGCGTTTCTTTTTAAGAAAACTCCAGAAAGATCAGTGTGCTACTTGATTCTCACCTTAGTTAGAAAAAAAAAATCCCCACTATAGCGATAGAGGAAATCAAACCACTATGAAAGGAAACCCTTGACTGAAAGCCAAATCCTGTTCTTTCATCAAAGAATGAGTGTAAATCCTCACGGTAAATACCTTCAACTTGACTGTACCACACACACACTACCCTCAGGCTCACCTTCCATGGCATATTTGAAGAACAGATCATTAATGTTGAGGACAGTCTGGCTGTCATCCTGCTGGCTTCGCAGTGTCTTCACTCTCTTCACCAGGTCGGCCACCACGTCGTTAACGTCGGAAGAGAAAACTGCCACGTCTCGGGGACGCATAATCAGCTGACGCAGAACACTGCGCATTTTCAGCCACTCATCACCCTCGCTGAAGAGAGAAATCGATTGTTTATTAGAATAAGAGAAATCAGGTGCAACCTGGTATTAACATGCTCTTTTGTTGATCTTATCACTGCTGGATGAATAAATTCAGCTGTAAATGGAGTCTAGAATAGTTTGAGCTTGTTCAATTTTGACTACTTCCAGATGTAGCCAAAATACATTTGACCTAACTGCGTTCATAGCGAAAAAATGCTTGTTGTGTATAACAAACGACACAAAACAACGCCTACTCTCCACCAGTTTTACAAACAGTGATCTAATATTTTTTTCAAATGAAGAATTTTTGCTGTCTGAAGGGATTTGTTTACCAGTGTATACCAGTATGCCATTGTTGTAACAAATACTAATTAAAAATATTTAAATTACTGTAACTGAGTAGTTTTTTCAGGAATTGTAATTTACTAAGTATTTTAAAAAGTATACTTTTACTTGAAATAAATATTTTATTGCTGTAACAATACTTTTACTCCACTAATTTCCTTCAACTTGAATTTACTACTTTATTTTTTCTTGTCTATGGTGATTGGCTGAGTAAAATCTGCCTCGTGATTCTCAACCAATCAAAATGCGCCTAGAAAAATCACATCAGACAGACCCACATCAAGATTTCTTATAAAAATAGCAAACATACAGTGTGGAAGCATTAAACGTATCCAGGAAGGCGCAAAAATTGTTGTTCAAGATGACAACTGACTAAACGCAGTACAGAATATTACGTTTTCAAATACATGCACAAATTGCATGAATTCTATCAGTGCTGCATGAGCTTGGTTTGTGGCGCCACCTACTAGACACTCGTAGCTTATTTAGTCAGTGTTCAAAGTGCATAACCTGTAAATATATTGTCAAAGCTACCTTTTTTGATTCTTAGATTACACAGATTTTGCTTCGCAAGTAAACGCATTAGTCTTTCATATCATATTGACAGTGTTATACCAGCCTGATCTCATGAGGAAATGTAACTATTTTACGTTTTGTCAAATTAGTTCAAGGTGTATAACCTGTTAATATATTGTCAAAGATAAGTTTTTACTCCTTAGGTTACACAGATTTCGATTCGCAAGTAAACGTATGAGTATTTCACATCATATTCACAGTGTAATACCATCTTGATCTCATGACGAAACATAACTATTTTACGTTTTGTAAGTTTAGCTGTCATTGGGGGATAAGCAAATCATACTAAATTGTGTGAATGAAGTCGTATGAATTCATAAGAAATAGCCAAAATCAAAAAGTTACGAATCGCTGAGATATTATGTTGGTAATACTCACTACTTTTGAGTACTTTTTGGTCTACCTTTTACTCATACTTTAAGTATTTTTTACAACAGATACTTTTACTTCTTGCACTACATTTTTTTGCAAGTAATGGTACTTTTACTTCAGTAAGATTGTTTTAGTACTCTTTCCGCCATTGCAGAAATAGAAACTGGAACAAACAGAGGGTGGTCAAAATTGAACACAAGAGATTTTTTACCTATTTAATTTGCGCAATTAAATCGGTCCTTTCAAAAATCTTACCGATCACCATCTTTTCATCTGCAGTGGTTTGATTTTTTAAAAGTGACAGAAAGCAGATCTCTGTGTACTTACGCTGAGATGAGTCCCGTGGACCTTCCCCTCAAATCTCTGTACTCCTTCCAAGACTCCATGTTGCCTCTCTGAGGAGTTGCGCTTTCACTTCTGAGAACCTGCGCCACCATGTCTCTGTCAGCGATGGACACGACAAACTGAGGTCCAAATCGAGACTTGAAGATCTTCCCATACTTCTTAGCGTGCTCCATCTACAATAAGATTTGTATATCTGATTAACATGGATCCCAGAAAACTCTGAAACTTTTAAAGCTTAAAGGGTTAGGTCACTCAAAAATTTTAAATACGTTATTAATTACTCGCTCTCATGTCTTTACAAACATTTAAAATGAAATCTGAGAGCTTCCTCATCCACCAGCAAGGTTTCAGACTCCAGAAAGTCTAGAAAATTACCAAAAAACATCCTCAAAACAGATCATATGGTAGTTACGAGAATTGCTTTGTGTGCATATAAAACTTCCTCCTCAGTGTCAGTATAGGGTGCTCATTCACGTCTTTCGTTTAGTCTTGTCTCTGATGTATAGTTGAAGTCAGAATTATTAGCCCCCCTTTGAATTGTTTTTTCTTTTTCAAATATTTCCCAAATGATGTTTAAAAGAGCAAGGAAATTTTCACAGTATGTCTGATAATATTTTGTCTTTTAGAGAAAGTCTTATTTGTTTTTTTTCCGATTAGAATAAAATCAGTTTTTAATTTTTTAAACACCATTTTAAGGTCAACATTATTAGCCCCTTTAGGCTATTTTTTCCTGATAGTCTACAGAACAAACCACCATACAATAACTTGCCTAATTACCCTAACCTACGTAGTTAAGCCTTTAAATGTCACTCTAAGCTGTATAAAAGTGTCTTGAAAAATATCTAGTAAAATTTTATTTACTGTCATCATGACAAAGATAAAATAAATCGCTTATTAGAGATCAGTTATTAAAACTATTATGTTTAGAAATGTATTGAAAAAATCTTCTCTCCCTAAACAGAAAATGGGGGAAAAAAAAACAGGGGGTCTAATAATTCAGGGGGGCTAATAATTCTGACTTTAACTGTATATCTCAGATGCACTTGTGTATTGTTTCAAACAGAGAAAATTGTACAAAGGCATCAGTGCACATTGCAAACACGTGCCCTATACTGACACTGAGATGAAGGAACTGTTGAATAAAGTCATTATTTTTATGTGTGCACAAACTCATTCTCGGGGCTTGTAATATTCAGTTTAAACTACTAAAGGTGTATGATCTGTTTTGAGAATGTTTTTTGGTATTTTCCTTGACTTTCAATGAGTTGGGAACCTTGCCATCTAAGAGAGCTCTCGGATCTCATCTTAAATATCTTACTATTGTTCTGAAGATGGTCAATTCACATTTTTATTTTTGAGTGAACTAACACTTTAGATATAAATACATTTAACACTGACCTTGGGCTAATCTTAGAGTTGCATTCGGGTTCTAGCAGTCTTTAGTTTGTATCAGCTTACTGATGTAGTTTTTGTGCTTTTAATGCTTTGCTTTGCTTTATTGTAAATGTGTTACTGAAGTGAGGAAATAACATGACCATGGCGTCATGACCTGTATCACATCTGTTAGCTCCTCAATGGCAATATCTTTTTCTCCACAAAAGACCATCTGGCTATTAGTCAGTACGTGTGGGGAGACTTTCCCAGTACGGATGGCCCATTCGCAAATACTTGAAGCCGTTTGCAAATACAGCAAGCTTGGCCAACTTTATCCCTGCTCTCAAGTTGTCTGTACCATCCAACACAAAGACACCTCTGTGTCTCCTCAGCGAGAAAAAAACCCTGAGACATTTCTCATCTTTCTCACTGTCCTAAGACAACTCGCACAGCATAACTGATCCGTAATGTAGGCACATGTAAACAGATGCCAGTCATCATTGAGCCTTTTAGGATTAGTACTTGGCATTTTGGCAATGTTTCAGCGCATGAGTGGAAACTTGAAATACATTGGCCATGATGAATTGCAATGACAGGCTGTCAGACAGCTGTACATCTTTATGCACATTCTTGAGGGGTTTGGCAGTGGCACCTTAATGCAGGCTGTATAATTTGAATCTGATCCCACATGCAGACGAGCCTGAGATAAAATAAGGTTTAGCGAGCGTCCCTCATGGCGGGGTGGAGACTGAGCCCGACGGTTTATGCAACTCTAAAAGTAATTCAACACCTCACGTGTCCGCGCTGCACATTACGTAGCCGAAATTTGATTGAATCACAATCAAGTCAAATCCAAAATTATTTTTTAATTCAACATATCTGCCATGGAAATGTTATTACTGACCGTTTACAGTTAAACGAGATTAAATTAATACACTTTACAATAAAAGTTAATGTTATGCATTTATTTACTATTATAAACAATACTTTTATTATCGTATTTATCCGTTTTCGTTAACGTTATTTAATGAAAAAAACAACTAATGTTAATAAGCATGAATTTGCATTTTAAAATGCCCAATGTATATAATGACTAACATTATAGCCTAATCTATTAACAAATGCTGTACTAGGCTCTTAATTCTTAGTACGTTAACATTACCAAATGAAGCCTTAGAGTAAAGTGTGAATATAAAAACATATGGACTAGCACACAAGATTGCGTCTGGCTGTTTTCATTGAATGTGTATTGAAGGTGTAAACTGTGCGCTAGAAGAGTCATGCAAATGAAAACTCGCACTACATCGTTTTTAATCCCAACGCGTATTCGTGGCCCCATTTGACCGTCTCTCCACTCACCTGGATCTCGTGGATGCGGCTGAATCCATCCCGGTAGAAGAACTCCAGGAGGTTGGCGACAGTGCTGGGTCCGGGCATCTCCTTGAGGCTCTTGACTCTCGCCGCCTTCTGTACCTCCTCCGCCGGACTCACCGCGCTCTCCTCCTTCAGGTCCGCCTGGCTGTGCGCCGCGATCTCTAGAGAGCCGCTCGCCACCGACTTGTGGAGCCCGTGGGTCTGGATAAGAAGCTGCCTGCAGGACTCCTGCAGCAGATTCTTGCGGGCCATGTGTAGAATAGTACTTTGAAGAGCCATGTCAAAGACTGCGTAAATGCTCACCAAGCTGAATTGAGGAGCCGCTTGGAGATGTGAAGGTGTTCGCAGACTGGAGTGAATGCGCTTGTGGTTTGTGTGGTGCGCAGCGGTCTTTTAAAGGTCCCAGGGAGAGGTGCGGGATCAGCGAAGGGGATTGGACACTGGAGTTTTGGCACTGGGATGAACAAGCGGTCCTTACGCATCCCCCACGAGGCAGCGGACGTGCCCGTGAAAAGCCCAAGTGCAGGATTTCCTTTTGTTGCAAAATAAATTGTGGATTACTTCGATTGTGGCGGGCAGCCCTTGAGGTGACCTGCTTTAGTCGCAAATGTCTTTATTAAAACCCGAGTGAAATTAGTCAAAGACTCTTGACCAAAAGCAAATTAAAGAGAGTTTTAGCTGTCGGAATCTAAAAGTACATCAAATCATGTCAACAAACAAGCTCTGCATATTGATATTATAAGCTACTACACTTCTTTAGTTAAAAAAAATGCTTTTTATTTAGCATTAATAATTTTACGAAAAACAAACATTCCATTGAACTTAAAGGGATAGTTCACCCAAAAATGAAAAGCATTCACTCTTCATTCAGTTCAATCCCATTTACTGTTTTAGTTCTGTTGAACCCAAAAGAAGATATTTTGAAGAAAGCTGGACACCTGTAGCCATTAGTAGCCTATTTGTTTTTACTACTACACTGTAAAACCCAACAGTCAACTTTATCAACTCAAAATTGACTGAAAGTTAATTCTACTCATTTGAAAAGAGTTTTGAACTCAGTGTTGAAGGTAATGAGTTCATTAAATACCTCATTACTTCAACTTAAATGGAGTAAGTTCACAGTACTCATATAGATTCATTTTTAACTCAAATGGTTTGTAGCAATTGGTTTTCTCAAATGGTTTGAGTTGACTTAACTTATTGGGTTTACAGTACTCAGTTGGTTTGAGTTCTCTTAATTTATTGGGTTTTTCTGTGCTCAAATTGCTTCTTTTACTCAAATGGAGTAAGTTTAAAGTACTCATTTGGATTCATTTTTTAACTTAAATGATTTTTTTTTTTTGCAATTGGTTTCCTCAAATGGTTTGAGTTACTTTAACTTTTTGGGTTTTGCAATGGAAGTCAATGGTACAGGTTTTCAGCTTTAGTGCTCAACAGAATAAAGAAACTCATTAAGGTTTGTAAACATCTAAAGGCGAGTAAATAGTGAGCAAATTTCAATTTTTGGGTGAACTATCCCCTTAACATTGGAAAATGTTTTTATTTAAATAACTGTTCACTGAAAGGTTCTTTAGGGAACCAACATTGGTTCTTCTATAACATAAATCCAAAAACCTACGCTTGGAACCATAATTTTAAGAATAGTTTATATAGTGATCATAAAGCTAAGTAAAAATTTTTTTAACATTTATTAAATGTTTAATTTGGGCAGTACAGCGGCACAGTGGGTAGCGCTCTCGCCTCACAGCAAGAAGGTCGCTGGTTCAAGCATCAGCTGGGTCAGTTGGCATTTCTGTGTGAAGTTTGTACATTCTCCCCGTGTTCGTGTGGGTTTCCCTTCAGGTGCTCCACTTTCCCCTACAAGTCCAAAGACATGCGGTACAGGTGAATTCGGTAAGCTAAATTGTCCGTAGTGTATGTGTGTGAATTGAGGTGTATGAGTGTTTCCCAGTGATGGGTTGTAGCTGGAAGGGTATCCGCTGCGTAAAACATATGCTGGAAAGTTGGCGGTTCATTCTGCTGTGAGGACCCTAGATTAATAAAGGGAATAAGCCGAAAAGAAAATGAATGAATGAATGATAAATGTTTCATTTTTGTTTTAAACTTACAATTAAAGGCTCCAAAAATGACATATTTATTATATTATTATTACTATTTAGCAGTGATGCTTTAGGTAGAAGAACCATTTTTAGTTCCCCACAGAGCCTTTCAATGATCAGTCCTCAAAATAACAGATTTTTTAAGTATAAAGACTATAAAGAACCTTTTGTGAATGGAAAGGCCTTTTTGGATGTTAAACGTTCTTCATGGAACCATCAATAATCAACTGTTACTTTTATGAGTGTACTTAAGTCATGGTTATTGTAGTTAAATCATGGGTACCTAAACTTAAACTGGATTACAAACTATGTAATAGTGGCTTTTGTAGTAAAACTGTGGCTATACAAATGATAACCAATGCAGCACAATACTTTCAATAAAACCTCTGTTATTTTTTAGCAGTGATAATCAAAACATTAGTGACATAAAATGTCCTTATTGTGTAAAACTATAAATTTTCTACCGCTGACAACTTTTGCTACAATAAAAATGCTTAATCAGCTTAACCATTCCATTGCAATTGCTTTCTATTCTTTTCTTTAACAGCTGGATTACCTTAGAAGTTCATAGTCATTGCTGGTAATACTTTAATACTTTCTCCAACAAGTGGATGTGAAGAGGCCAGTTTTCCTCGGCTTCTGTGAACAGTGAAACCCCCTCATTGATAAGCAAAACGTAACTTCGAAGATAGGCCTATGTTGTCATTCTACACTCTCGCAAACTGTCACTGGGGTGGTACGTTTTCAAAAGGTACACATTTGTACTTAAAGGGTCCCAATTGGTACCTCAAAATGATATATTAGTACCTAAAAAATTCAAGAGGAACACTTTTGTACTTTTTAGGTACTAATATGTTCCCATAAGGTATAAATATGAACCTATTAGATACCAATTTGTACCTTTTGAAAAGGTACCACACCAGTAACAGCTCGCGTACCTTTATTTCAGAGAGTGTAGCAACAGATGGACATAGCAAACATTAAGAAAAAACTTTGAGGGAACACATCTTTTGCTCTCGCATTTCTCTTCTAAACCGTGTTTTGTTGTTTGTTTAGAAGAATCATAATCTGTTTAACAAGCTTCATGTTGTTGCTGGCATTAGTGCAAATGTGGGTTTTTCAGTCTCTGAGTTCACTTGAGTCCAGGAATTGTGTGTGGGATGAGGGCACCTGGGGTGAAAACCTTAATTTGACCCGATTGAGCATTTCTCAGCTCTACGCAGGATACTATTGACTACTTTCTAACAGGCTTGTTTTTTGGGAGTCCTGAAGCGAATGGGGCTCATCCCCCTGGAGCTGCTTTAGGATACAACTTGAGGATGTAACAAGAAAACAAAGAATATTCCCCCGAAATGCTCTTTCTCGTACCCAATCCTCAACCTCCTGCTCTTGTGTTTCCTCTAAAACCGTTACACAACCATGTATTGTTCGTTCCCTTTATTGCAACCTGCATAATCTAAATACCCTACTTCTTATTAAGAGTTCCCATCATACATGCTTAAAAAAATCAAGGTTCCTTCTTGGCATTGATTTCTTGAAGATGCTGTTTTGTTCTTGGGAAGTTCTTTAGGTTATTAAAATAGGTACAAACTGGTTCTTCAGTGCTAACTACTTTATTTTTAAGAGTGTACATTATATTCTTTTAGCGTGTTTTTGAAAAGCAGCTTAACGCAGCATGAAAAGATCTGTGGAGTCCTGCTGTATAATTGAAGCCTCTTCTATTTAGGCTTTTGTTTGGTTTTCTTTGAGATAAAAGAGAGCATCAGGCTGAAGAAGAGTGTGTTTATGCTAGATTTACATGCTAATAAGAATTATACAACAGCTTGTATGTGGTTTTGATTGGCTGAGAAGTTTTTTCTAGCCTTGAGATATTCTACCAAAAGTTTAAATCACTCTACCAAGCGTTGAGTCTCTAGGTGGAGGCTAAACTCAATAGAAATGTCCAAATACTAACTGCATTTGTGTCATTGATTAGTTAAGCTGTGAAAATGTGGTTGTAGCTTGATTCTGCTGAATAAAAAATGTAAAAAAAGAACAAAAGGGCCTCAAAATGGGAGGGATTTGGATCCTATTTTAATATCAGAAAATAAAAAAAGAGACTTATTGTCTTAATATCACCCCAATTTGCTTGTGGACACACTATACCTACACACAATTCTCTCCAAACAGCTTCCAAAAGATGATTTTCATCATAGGTGGCCTAAAAATATGTGGCAAAAGGATTTTTAAAACACTTCTTTCTTAATATTTACATGTCAAATTATTGTATAAGTCCAATATGCACTCATATTCTAAGATTCATAGATTACTCAGAGCACACACGACCTACAGTATACATGTGTGATACTGCAAACCCTTTCAGAGAAAAAACTTCTCTCATTGAAATCTCTCTTATCCTCCATATTACAAACGATTGCACATTTTTATCTACGCATGCAAACACGCCAAAGGAAAGCCCACTACTTAGTCATTCCACAGAATTCTCAAGACGGGCAGCTACTTAAAAGGGAAAAGCCACAGTTACAAAAGACTCCCTTTCTCCAAAACAATTGTTTTCTGAAAGACTGTTTTGCCTTTGTTTCCTCAATTTGGCAACATTCGGAGGTGCATGAGGCTTCTGACCACACTTAACAATAATCATATTAATCATTTGAATCCCCTGATCCCTCAATCCCTTTGTATTGTTTCATTATGTAGCTTGTATTGTTGGGTGCGCGTGCAAAGAGCAGAAAGTGGAGCTTTTTACCAATTTGGCACAAGATACAGGGATAATATTAAGAAATGTGGCGGATAATGAGGTGAAGCAGGTAAGGAAAATGAACCGATGACAATGTAACAAGGTGATGGAGCCAAACATGAGACCAAGAGAAGAGCACATGGCAAACAGCAACAAACAAAAGTCATGTGTTCACACACAAACAAGTCAAGAAAGCACATGGCAACTCTGAACTCCATCATCAGTCAAGCTGAATGAACAGACAAGTTGAGCTCAGAGAATCAACAGATCAAAACCTTTTACTTTAGTCTCAATATTATATTACACAAATAAACAAATAGATCATTTTAGACAACTTAAATGAACAGTTCACCCAAAATTGTTCATTCTGTCATCATAAAAGAAGATACTTAGAAAAATGTTGGAAACCTGTAACCATCGACTTTCATAGTACTTGTTTTTGTTTCTTGTTTTTCCCTACTCCCTGTGTTCGCGTGGGTTTCCTCTGGGTGCTCCGGTTTCCCCCACAGTCCAACTTGCAGTAGATGAATTG